CAGGTCTCCCGCACATGTCAGACTCTCACGGGGGCAGGGGAAACATTCGAGAGGTCACATTCACACCCCAAGGGTCTCCGGGTCCCTAGCACCCTCCGGCGTCCGTTGCGACAGGTCTCCTTCCTGGTTCTAGAGCACCGTTGCCCGCCGTTTGAGTTGAAGTCTTTGCGTACAGCGGAGACATGCTATCTCAATCGCTCGGAGAAAATCAACGTTGATCATTGCCTGTCACCGCATCGAGATCCTGCCACGTTGTGAGGTGGAAACTACGGCCGACTTCTCCACGGACCCCGAACGACGTCAACAGGTTATATTTATCCATACAGACGACCAATACGGATACATCGCTGTTCAGGCAGAATCGGCACATCTGACCTGAATAGCGCCCAGTGTATTAGACGTGGGACCGCCACGAAAGAGTGACACGGCAAATGCCTTTCCGAAGCCTCACTCTTCCTTTTTGTATATTCCACCTTCCGGCTGGGAAGAAGAATGACCAGGAAACAACCCCAGGATCCCATACAATGGCATCCGTCCTATCATTGACAGATATCTCCGCTGCAGCGCGGATTTGAGCTTACCCAACATTCTAACCACCTGCGAGGGGCTCATCTAGCTCGTCCCAAGATGTCACTACCTAAGTCGCCCGACTTGTTGGTGGCAGCGACTTCACAACAGACCCCTCGTTCGAGTCAGAGGCATCTGGGGATTGTATCCGTACCAATCCAGTTTAGCGAACCGAATCATTTTGGTACAGACGGGCATACTCGTCTCCAGAGGCCTAGAAGGCCTACGGATAGCGGGTCTATGTACATATTCCCGGCCGCCTGCAGCCCACGGGTTGAGGTGGTGTGCCCAGTGGCCTGTGCGCCAATCTGGCCGGCCGCCTGGGCTAATCCGGGGTGTTACAGCGCACCCGGACCATCACTTAATTTCCACACAACACAGACTTTGATCAACTGAATTGGCACTATTGACCGATCTTCATCCTTTACCCCCCTCTTCGGCTCACTTCCATCGGGTATCCGAATCTGCAGCTTCTCTACTCTCTTGCTGCTTATCGTTATATGGAGGTCTTCAAGAGACAAGAGGCTCATTTAACTTCATCAACCGGGTAGTTGTAACGCGAATCAACCAGCTCAAACCTAAGGTTTGCGTATTCAGCTCTGCAGTCTCATCCACGAAGCGGTATATCAACTCATAATTCATGTCGGCCTTTCACAACTAGCCTCATCGGCCCACCGCGTTATGTACCGGCTGTCAGGATCTGGAGAAGCACCTGTGGCTAGGAAATCCTTGATCTGACCTCACCAAAATTTTGACAACCTGATTTGCGGTGCTGCGATTTGTGCTTGCTAGGAGCTTCCTTCCAGGTGACTTGGTCGGAAGACAACACCACTATCGTTCGACTCGCAGGTCCGGCCTCGCCAGACGCGAAGTAAGAATATCGGTGTCCCACTGCCGAGTATTCTTCTCTCATGAAGCTTCACAGATTTGGCATGAACCGGATGACAAAACATGTCAAAAAGGTTGAGCGGGCAGCGACGAAGATTGGCCTTTCTTGATCTTGACGCTGGAAAGTCTAATTTGAAACCGTTTTGTGAGCTCCCCAGCCCTCGATGACTTTACTTCGGACTATGCAAAAACGTCACTTGCCGGCGCCATTTCGCTGTGTATTTCAAGATGCTATGCACCATGATACTAGCTCACCACCGTTTGCTGTCACCATTACGAAGGCGCCTCAATCTCATGATCGATGGTCACTGTCGCTCCAGGGGATACACTATTGAGTGAGAAACACGGATGACTGATAGTCAGAAACACAAAGGGGATTCATAATAATCACCCTCGTCTTCCCGCAGTCTTTCGTGACCGAAGAGTTGGGGGCTATACTAGAGACGTTGGATGCATATCTCGACAAGCTGTTGCTGCTGGAAGATGACCTGGACACTTTATACTTCTAGAGCTGGAATGACTTGAAAATAAAATCGAGGAAGTCGACAAGGTAGGAGAAATAACCAAAAACTGACTCACCCATGTGACCCTGCGGAACACCGAGGGAATATCCTAGAAATGCGGAAATCAGGACAACGCAGGTTCATTCTAGCTTACCTTTCTCGAGAGACTTTTGAGATTCAGCAACTAACGCGTTCGCTTTATCAAAATCCCTAATCCAGTAGGAAAATTGACTAGAATTGATATTGAGCTAATTCCGCAAGCTGGTAATTCAAACACGGTAGTCTCAGTCCTTGCAACTTGGGTATATTTCAGACTGCGTAAAAAGAGGTGTATATAGTTCATGGCCAAAAAACTTGGACGGAGACTACAATAGCGTGTTCCGGAGCTATGGTTGGAAACCCTGCGGACACGGCACGGGAATATTGGAGCCGGCTACGGAGCGGCACGGGGGCGCCCGAGTGGATTAGTCAGTGGGCCCGGATGCACGTCATTGAGGGGAACCGAACGGGGACCTCGGTGAGACTTCATCTTTTCGAGCTACTGACAAATCACTTAAATCTTTTCAATCAGTTTCTCAAGTGCAGATTGGCAAGATCAAGAGTTTGATCAGAAAACTTTATCAAAATGGCCTCAACAATGAAAGCAGTTGGTCCGTCGAACACGCCTTCCCACCGTACATGATAGATAAATGGCTTACAAATACCAAAAACAGACATCAAGGACGGCAAAGGTCCCAAGGAGAACCTTTTCATCAATGCCGACACGCCAAAGCCCACGGCGGGTGAAGGTGAAGCCCTGGTCAAGATCAAGGCCTTTGGCATCAACCGCATGGACCAAATCCAACGTCTTGGCAATTACCCCCTCCCGCCGCAGGCGCCCAAGACTCTGGGAGTCGAGTTCAGCGGGACTATTGAATCCTTTGGCTCGGGCGACCACGGCAATTTCAAGGCTGGAGACGAGGTCTTTGGCCTCGCGTACGGTGGCGCATACGCCGAGTACATTGCCGTCAACAGCAAGATGTTGCTGCATAAGCCCGACTTCCTGTCATGGGAGCAGGCTGCTGGTGTCCCAGAGGTAAGAAGAAGGGAAACGCACATGGCTTCCTCATAATCTGTTTACACCACCAAACGGCGGCAGTTGTTGAATGCTGACCATGCGTGTACACTAGACCTGGATCACCGCCACGCAAGCCCTGTTCCTCGTAGGCGAGTTCTCAAAGGGCAAATCCGTCCTCTGGCACGCCGGCGCCTCTGGCGTCTCCATCGCGGGCATCCAGCTGGCCAAGGATGCGGGTGCGTCCGCCGTCTACGCGACGGCCGGGTCCAACGAGAAGTGCGACTTTGTGGTCAACGAAATTGGCGCCACGGCGGCCTTCAACTACAAGGAGGTCGACTGGGCTGAGAAGATCAAGGAGGCGACAGGCGGCAAGGGCGTGGACGTGATTGTCGACTTTGTCGGGGGTGGCTACTTCCAAAAGAACCTCGACGTCGCGGCGCGGGACGCGCGCATCGTTCTGCTCGGCCTGCTGGGCGGGCCCAATATCGAGGGGGCCAACATTGGGCCGCTGCTGTACAAGCGCATCAGGCTCGAGGGCAGCACGCTGCGGAGCAGGGACGTGGAGTATCAGGGTAAGTTAAGGGATCGGTTGGAGGAGTATGTGCCGCACTTCAAGACGGGAAAGCTCAAAGTCGTGATTGATACGGTGCTTCCATGGGAGAAGATTCAGGAGGCTCACGCGCACTTGGAGGCGAACAAGAACTCGGGAAAGATCATCTGTACCATTTCGTAGAGGGGCCGCGGCAGATCACTGGGCCAACTTGGTTCAAGACTTTCAAGCTCTAAGATCAACTGGTCGGCATAGGTAATGCTAGGCAAAGAGTGCCTGTTCAAACATCTCTGCGGTGCCGCGTCATGGGATTTTCAGCATTTCCATCTGCGTATTGGATTGGTGTTATTGATTTTTAGTATCCGGGAGTCTTCTGGGCCATGTTCTACGGACCGAGATGGCCACGGCGAACCGGGCGCTCTCATGGCTCCGGAACGCTGTGGATATCGGCCATCTCGGGTATATTCATAACAAAGAAAACCTCATCCGATTCCGCCACCCATGGCTGACTAGGTTTATCGCACTCCAGTTGAACATGGCGCGGATAGGCACCCGTCTTGGGGCAGTGACGAGCGTGCTCCTCTCATTGGAGGAATGTTGTCTTTTTTTCTGCTCATCATCTACCGGCTATTGCAAGCCCCCGACCCAGCCGTTCTCTGTTGTGGGCTCTTGGAAAAGTTGGGAGAACTTGGCGTAGGGCGAGAGCAATCCGGGGTGGGAACGGGGTCATTATAGTTCAAAGGAGGCTGACTGCTCGCGGCGAGCTTGGCTTTTGACCAGCAGTCCGGAAGAGGATCCGCGGGCGGGTTGGAGTGTACTCCGTGCGCTCTCACGCTCTCTGATTTGATAGTTTCTTTTTTCCTCGATCTTTAGCGGAATCCTAACTGGTTGCAGGCGCAACGCAATTTCTTAAGACATTCCAAGACGTGGCGAGAGTGGGCTGCCACTCTTCCTTTGAAGGCCTGCCTCTTCAAGCTGGCATGGGCTGGCTTTCACAAGACTGGCACCTTTCGTCAGAAACTCTGGAATTTCTACAGAATCGCCTTTCTCTTCCCAGGCGCCAGGCTGAAACTGTGAAACGATTGGGGGCAGACAATGGCGATAAGCTCTACGCCGCTAACGTACGCCCCAAGGCAGGGGGGGAAACATCAACAGGATCAATAGATCAAAGGAGGGGAAAAGCCGTACCAACGCCGTCTTTGGCGTACCCGTCTCCGAGCCTCTGAAGTCGCCTCGCAAATCGCAACTTGGAGATGGCGCTGGGCTAGGCCCCCTGGGTACCGATTCCGTCATCAAACACAACAAGAAAGGGCAATAACTTGACTCGGAGGCCCTCCCTCTCTTACGTCCGCTCCCACCGGCTCTCCCTCTCCTTTCGGTCATTCTTTGCGGCTTTCGTGTCTGTGTGTACGTTCGCTGTCAGACGAATCCCGCAATGTTGACTCTGCGATTCATCGTCGCCGTTGGAGCTTCGTGCCTCTTGAGGCTCGCTGGCGCGCAGTCGTTGGCTGATGCTCCACAGTGTTCTGTAAGTGGTCATATCTTCCCAATCTTCTTAGTCGAGGATTAAGGTTCACAATGTCCGATTGTCGATGAAGCTAACGGATGAGTTTAGACGAAATGTCTTTTTCAGGCAATGAGCCGGCCTGCATTTGCCAACCAGTCACAAGCGGAGTTATGTGTCGATGAAGGCTTCAACAACTTTGTCGGGGGTTGCGTACAACAAGGATGTAGCGTGGTCGAGTCCCTCAGTGAGTGCATTGCTATTCCCTACTCGTCTTATTGTCAAGAAAAGCGACTTTTCTAACGTAGTCTTGGATGTACAGCCTTTGTCAATATCACAAGAACTGCTTGTGGATTCCCTCTGTCAGACTATCGCAACGAGTCGAGAGCGACCAGTCTTGGCATGTTCATACTTGCGTCCGCCTTCTTCACATGCCGAATCACTGTCAAAGTCATGAGGTACTCTCCTTGGGGAGCTGATGATAGTCTGATGGTAGTTGCGTTTGTGAGTATACTATATTTACGAATGACCTCTAACTTCTGTTGGAGGTTGGTTAACTAATCTGGCCAGGCTGCCTTGATCCCGTTCATAGTCTTGATTCAGTATAGTAAGTCAACTCTCCAACAGATTTAACAATGAAATCAATGGCTGACATAGCCCCGCAGTGATACCACAAGGCCTGGGACTTGATATCTGGGTTCTCCACGATTATCAAATTACCACCTTTCTCAGGGTGAGTACTGTCGATCAACCGGCTCCACTGCAGAGAGTTTCTACAAACATGAGCTAACCATTTGCAGTACCTCTTAATGGTCCAAACACTCTACATCTTCGTCCTCTCCATCGTAAAGGCATCTATTCTCCTGTTCTTCCTCCGCATCTTTCCGGACAAGAAATTCAGGATCGCAGTCTGGTGGACGCTGGCCTACGACCTCTTTGTCGGATTCATATTCATCGTCTTCAGCTTCGTCCAGAGACAGCCAACATGGCTCATCTGGGAGGGCTGGCGTGACAAGGAACCTCGTGGTGTCATTCTCGACCTCAACAAAATGGGATTGTCACATGGCGGCATGAACATCGCGCTCGATGTCTGGATGCTCATTCTGCCATTGACGCAGCTTTACAAGTTGAATCTCAAGACGAAGAAGAAGCTCGGAATTATTGCCATGTTCAGTGTCGGTATATTGTGAGTGGGCCCCCAAATTCTCTAGGTACGAAGCGTGAACACGCTGACCCGAAATCAGCCTCACGGTAGTCAGTATCGTCCGCCTTCGCAGCCTGATATCATTCGCGACATCGGCGAATGCGACAGCTGATGCGCGTGGGACAACGATCTGGTCTGCCATTGAGATCTGCACTGGCGTAGTGGTCGCCTGCATGCCCAATGCAAGACAAATTGTGCGTGAGACCGGTCGGCAAATCAAGGATGCGTCGGCGAATCTTACGAACAGGACGCATGGCACGAATTCGGGGTCGCAGAGAGTCTTCCAAGACCAGTCGCTCGAGATGCGGGTGGCAGTGAACTCTTCGGGCGCCAAATCAGTGCCAACAGATAAGTGCAGTTACAGTTCTACCACTGCTATCAATTCTGGGAGGAGGAATTCGAGCTTTACAAGCGATGGGGAGACAGCAAGAAAAGACATGATGTAATTTCATTGAAACTTGGAGAGGGATTTGTCGGGGAACTTGTAGTATTGATATAATAATATCCCCTTGGGCCGTAAGAAAAGTTCCTATAAAGCACTGATATCATCAAAAGTCGCGAGAAGAGCGACCACAACAGAAGCAAAGGCCATAGAAAGCATACGAGGACGGTCTCCCCCATTCTCAGTGTTCCTTGATCCACTTCAACATTTGATCGTAGGCGGTAGTCTGAGCATCCTTGATGGCTGCGTCTTGATATTCGCCAACAACAGCGAAACCTGGTCGTGAAGGTTAGTATTCGATCAATGGCTCATAATGGTAGATTATTGGGCCTTACCGTGCGGCACGCCAGGGTACACTTGAACTTCGTGTTCGAGGTTTGCCTTTGACATGACGTCCTCGCCATATGTTCTGACTTCCTCAGGGAACAGAGGATCATTCTCGACGCAGACAAGAGATATGGGGACTTTGACGCCTGTGAAATCATCAGGGGTGACGGAAGCACCGTGTGCTATCGCACCGACCTTGATGAAAGGACCAGTCTTCACTTCGCCAGCCTCGGCATCAGCAGACTCTTGACCTCCAGTCGTGACCTTCTTGTCTGAGCCCAAGTGAAGGATATAGCGTCCTCCAATGCAGTAGCCGACAGCGTAGATGCCGTCGCCGTTCTTGACCGCATCGGCGAACTTCTCCTTTGAGCCTTCAATAACCTTGTAGAGAATCGGCAAAACCTTCTCCTCTGTGTGGCGCGCCAGCCACATATCAATTTGGAAGCTCTTGGCCGTCTCGACAATCTTCATCTTGAAAGCATCCAGGAACGATCCGGTGTCCTCGCTGCTGTCGATGGTCGACGAGTTGGGCGCCGCATCACCGTTGAAGAGATCGGGCATAACCACCACGTAGCCCTCACTAGCAAACTTATCGGCTTGAAGCTGGTTGTTTGTAGACTTGAGACCCGTGCCTCCCGTCAGGAGGAGGAGAAGCCTGGCTGGCGCATGAGGGTAGTCGGCGGGTTTCGAGATGTAGACCTTGAATGGGTTAGTCGTTGGCCATGGTCACGATATGCTCGTAGTTGCAAGATAGGTCATCTACTCACATCGACATCGTTGATCTTGATGATCTCGCCCGTTGAGGACTGGCCGGACGCTGTTTCGAGTCAGTCTTGCGCAAATAATCGCAGAGGCTCAGCGAGGGAGCTCACGAGTTGGTCTGTCGGACACGCAATGTTCGCTGTGCTCTCCAGCACCTCCCGTAGTCGTTGTAGGGCTGGTGGATTGAGCCGGTGTGTCGGCAGCAGAGGTGCTTTCGGTGACTGGCTCGGTGACAGTGATCGTCTCGGCGGCGTCGCTCTCGGGAGCTTTCGTCGCAATGTCGGGCTCGATCTGGGTCATCTTGTTGAGCGGGGTTATGGGTATCTGTGCGGAGCACGGCAGTACGAGGCAAACGGTTCTAGGATCGAAAGCAGTACCAGATGTTGCGATGTTAATGTAAGCTCACAGAAACGCAGTTTGCACTGTCAATGTAGAAGTCTGTATCCCTTGGCGCAATGTTTGGTTCAAGTCTGGACTGTGAGGTACGTGTACATAGCTCGTAACACCACCAGGGATGACGTCTCAGCTTGATGCTTGTAGCTGCCCCGCGTGAAGTCGCTGCCACCTAAAGTTCCTGGGTACGTACTGGGCTACCATCTTTCCCCACACTGAATCCAGACGACACAGGCACGACAGGCAACTGGCCACTACCGGGCATGTGAGAAACAGCAGGGACTCATTAATTACCAGCTTACCTAACGGAAGGGAAGAACCCCGCCAAAAGCCATTAAACGCGTCGACGCGCTTTCTTCTCCCATCTCGCGCAGACCTTGCCTCAACACCCCAAATCCTCCCCGTTCTCAACCAACAAACTTGCATACGATACTTCATCTTCGCCAAACTTCAAGATGGACGTCGAATCAAAGATTACGAAAGGAGCCCTGGAGTAAGTGAATTCGCTATTCGGTGCCCTTCTCACCCTTTCCATACTGACTGAGCTCGTGCAGTGCCATCTTCAACGACCCCGAAGGCGCCAACACGAAATTTCCTGTCCCCGTTCTCCAGTGCCTGCAGATCAAGCCTTTGGCTGCACAAGCGGGAGGCAACGCTGAGAGATACCGTATCGTTCTCAGCGATGTGAGCAACTATGTCCAGTGCATGTTGGCTACGCAGGTCAACCACGTTGTCCACGACAACAAGCTGGTCAGAAACTGCATCGTGCGGATTACTCAGTACCAAGCAAATTCCGTGAAGGGGAAGAAGTACGTGGTCCCTTGCCTTTCTTTGTTGGGCTTTTCGAGAAACATGGCCTAACCTGTGAACAGCATTCTGATCATCCTCGGCCTCGAGGTTGTCGAGCAGTTCGGCACACCGGACAAGCTCGGCGAGCCCCAAGCCTTCGAAGCGAAGCCTCCTGCAGCAGCGAACACGACCATCGGCGGACAGAACTTCTATGGTGTCAAGCAAGAGGAGACCAAGCCCACACCGAAGCCACAATCGATACCCACGCGCTCTGCTGGAGGCGCTACCGGCCAGCACGGAAGCAACAACATCTACCCTATCGAAGCCCTCTCTCCCTACGCTCACAAATGGACCATCAAGGCTCGCGTCACGCAAAAGTCAGACATCCGGACATGGCACAAACCTAGTGGCGAGGGCAAGCTGTTCAGTGTCAACCTGCTTGACGAGAGTGGCGAGATTAAGGCGACTGGTTTCAACGACCAATGCGACCAGTACTATGACCTGCTTCAGGAGGGAGGTGTCTATTACATTTCCAACCCTTGCAAAGTTCAGCTCGCCAAGAAGCAATTCACAAACCTGCCAAACGATTACGAGCTCACTTTCGAGCGCGATACCCAGATTGAGAAGGCAGAGGACCAGAGCAGTGTGCCGCAGGTGCGGTTCAACTTCTGCAACATCCAAGAGCTCCAGGAAGTCGAGAAGGATGCGACCGTTGACGTCATTGGCGTTCTGAAGGAGGTTGCCGAGGTGTCCCAAATCGTCTCCAAGTCGACTGGCAAGCCTTACGAGAAGCGTGAGCTCACGCTGGTCGACGACACGAATTACTCAGTTCGCGTCACCATCTGGGGCAAGAGCGCTACTAACTTTGACGCCAAGCCCGAGTCTGTCGTAGCCTTCAAGGGTACCAAGGTGTCTGACTTTGGTGGTCGCAGTCTCAGCCTGCTTTCTTCCGGCACGATGTCCATTGACCCCGATATCCCTGATGCTCACCGTCTGAAGGGCTGGTATGACTCATCTGGTCGCAATGATACGTTCAGCAGTCACAACAATATGGCCAGCATGGGCAACGCCACTGGTCGCAAGGATCAGGACAAGTCCATTCTCCAGGTGAAGGAGGAGAACTTGGGCATGGAGAACCAAGACTACTTCAACCTCAAGGCTACCATTGTCTACATCAAGCAGGAGAACTTCGCCTATCCCGCATGTAGCAACGAGGGCTGCAACAAGAAAGTGACTGATATGGGCGATGGCACCTGGCGCTGCGAGAAGTGCGATGTTGCCCATCCGAAGCCCGAATATCGGTACATCATGTCTATCAACGTGTGCGATCACACCAACCAGCTGTGGCTCAGCTGCTTCGATGATGTCGGTCGTGTTATTATGGGCATGTCGGCAGACGATCTTATGGCTCTACGCGAGGAGGATGACACGAAGATGGCACAGGCATTCGAGCAAGCGAACTGCACCAAGTTGAACTTCCGATGCCGTGCGAAGATGGACACCTTCGGCGAAGCTCAGAGGTACGATGATCCCTTGACCACATCTGATTTACAAAACACTAATCTTTTCCAGGGTACGCTACCAGGTCTTGAGCGCAGGACAAATCGACTACAAGGCTGAGGGAGCTAAGCTTGCGGATCTCATTAAGCAATTTGGTATCAGCTCGTAAAAATTCTTGGAAGGGAGATCGATGTACGTGTACTTTAATGATGGAAAGGCAGCCCGCGCATCTGCGTGAAGAATCCTAGTTAGACGGGACGATCAAAAATTTGACGAGCTATGAGGCAAAGGACCGCGAACACATGGTGTCGACCAAACAATGTTCTCAGGCAAACATGCTAATTAAAGGTGGAAGAGAACTATTTTGCGGTTTCTTCTTTCTCTACCTAGTCTACCACAGTCAGTCCCGAGAAGTCGGGCTCTCGCAATTCTGATAGTGTCGCAAATGCCTCTTTCGGCCATCAAAGCAATATCCCTTGTGAACCTGATCTCGTAACGCCGGCCTGATGCCCCCAGTATGCCGAGGTCAAATCTCATGCAGCACCATGTGTCGCTCTTTTTCTCATGCAAGAAATTATCTTACTTCCCACCTTCCCTCATTCCGTGCCTTCGTTACTTCATCAAAAAAGGCGCGAACTGCAGTGACATCGAAAGATCATATTTGAAGGATGGCCCACCCAGTAAAGCTACTAAGGATGTTGAATACCCGTCATGAGATCTTCGTCCTCGATGGATGCGTCGAAGCCGAACTCGGTGTTGTGCGACTGAGAACCGTCCTTGTCTTGACGCTTCTGCTCACGAATGATGTGCCTGGCGTATTCCTTTGAGGCTGCAAGACGGACATCGCTGACCTCGGCGAATTTGTTCAACGCCTTGATGCGCGCGTCGTCTGTGATCTTCTTCTGGTACTCGCTATATTCGATTTCCGTGTCACGTGGGAGGAAGGTGAGGCACTTGACGCCATCAGGGCTGACCTCCAATGAGCCCTGAAGCATTCCGATGGTGACCATGTCCTGCAAAAGTTGCTCCACCTCCTCGTCAGTCTCGAGGTTCCGGGCTGTCTCAGCACTGAGTGTCTGTTGACGGATCTCCGACACGCTGATCTTATGGTACACGTCGGCGAGACCAAGAATCTGCCATTTCTGGTACGCCGTCACGACCGCCTTGATTAGCTCGGTGGTTCCGTCAGCTGCCCACGTGTCAATGCCTTTCTCGGCTGCGCCCTTGAACTGTTCCACATTGGTAGTTGAGAAGAGGCTCGCGAGATCTGTGTAGGGTTTTGACAGAGACGCAAAGGCCTTTTGAGCGCTTGAGCTGATTTGGCCCGGCAGAACCGGCGTGTGACCGAGAGCCAAGAGACCTGTGAGAAGCCACCGCTTATGGGAGTCGGTCATCAACTTGCTCACAGAGGTTTCCCTTGATGGCCAAGTGATGATTCTTTGGTAGGCTTTGTGGGCCTGCGCCCATTTGAGCTCCTTCGTGAAGATTAGGGCACTGAGGTACTCGTGCTCCATGACACCCTCGCGAGTCAAGTATTCGGTGAGTTGTGTGGCGGGGCTGATATAGGAGGAAGGTGAGGCTGTCAAATCGCAGGGGTATGTTGAACGAGGCTGGTCTTTCATTCCAGGAAGGAACACCCATGGCTTCTCGAGTATCGGCAGCACTTCGTCGTAGTTCGTCGTCTCGTAAGCTAGCCTCACCACAGCGAGGTGGAGGCTCGTAAGGACGGCAGATTCGGGATCGAGTAGCCTCAATGCTGCAACAACAATCTCTACAGACTGACGCGCCTGCCAAGAGAATATGGGATTAGTCGAGTTCATCAATCAGGCTCTGGATATTTCTTACCTGAAAGAACTTGCATTCCACGACATCCTTCAATAGGTCGTAGAAGACATCACCAACATAGCGCATCTGCCGGGCGTCGAACGACAGCAGAAACCGGGCGACGTGTTCTCGGAAGGTATCGATTGGAAGGGGCAAGGAAGTTTCCTCCAAAGGCTTCAGGGTGTTCAGGATCGCGAGGTAGGAGATCGAGTGGTCGGTGGGGTGGACGATCTGTGGCACGGCGGTTAGCAGCAACAAACAGCCAAAGGTGGGGGGACCAACAGACCTCGAGCAGTTGCGGCGCTTTGGCTATGATGGCCGGCGCGTCGTCCTTAAACAGACGAGTGATCTTCAGAATATGATTTCTAATGGTCTTGTCGTAGACCTCGTCCGTCATGTACTTCTCGCGCTCGAAGTAGAAAAGCGTGTCTTCCATCTTGCCAGCGATTCGGGCACCTTGCCAAACTAGAAAGCTCGAGCTCCAACGGTTGTGACAGCAGCAGCGACAGTTGCGGAAACCCGGGTGCGAAGCTTGTGTTGGGTCGAGATTTCCCAAATTGGGCGAGGTGTAAGTTCTGGAAACGGTGGTTTGTATGGAGAGTTTGTGAAGTGTTCACAAAGCCAAGTCGCAACCCAGCGTGATCCAGAGAAGCTTCTTGATGATGATGAAGCTCAGCACTACCTAGTAAGTACCAGCATAGGCTGTACGGATACCATCAATCCATTGTGGGGGATACTGGTCCGTGCTCGGTACCAGAAGGCAAGTGCACTTCGCTTAATCTTCGGCTAATTAGATACCGATCATATCTCGCGCCTGCCTGGCCATCGGTGAATCAAGGTGAAGCCCCAGTTATGCCTATGACAATGCACACTCTGTAAGGTACCTTGGGTTGACTGGCTGGTGGGGCAGGATTACCCCTCCATCCCGACAAGGTCCTAGACAGTAGATTATCGTAAAAAGAAAGCGACCTCAAATTACCTGACTTCACACAACTCTGGGTCTTACCATTCTTTCCTTTCATAAAGGTCATCATCATTAAGGGAGGTCACTCAAGCCTGGTAACAGTAAACCGACTGAGACCCGAGCACAAGAGAGGCGACAGGATCAAATGACCTCCTCATAAAAATGGCATACAGCCAAATGCAACAAGGGTGACCAGGAAGATAAAATAAGATATAGAGGCAGCAAGAAGTAAGCGTAAGTATGCAACCTGGAGAGAGATCGAGCAGCTCAGCCTGTATGGATATAACGCTAGATGAGAATACATCCTTCAGCTGGTTAAATTGGACTTAACAGCTCCGAGGCTGTGCTTTATTATTGTGGTTGCGTTGAAGCAAACGGTAGTAAGATTACAAGACTGAATATTATCATGTCGTCTCTTTAAGTATTCAAATGCCTCAAATTGAGCATCATTGCCAATCGGCGCCCAGTGATGTGTGTTTTCGTTCAAGGTAAGTAGGTAGGTAAGTGAGGATTATCAATTAATAGATGGTTTCGAGTCTTTGGGGAACCTAGTCAATTACCCCGCCCCCACCATGAACTCCAACGAAAAAACATTTCGAGACGGAATTGAAGACCTAAATCAACTACTCAGCGACATCGGCGGAAAACCGATTCTGAACCACTACTGTGAATAGAGACCATCAGGTATGAGCCTAAGCCCTTGCATTATCGAGCAATCCTGTCTAACAGTTCATAGAAGCCGTGACGCCCATTCATCAGTCCACTCGCCATTCAAGATGCCTCTCCCTGACACCGTCGAGTTGCCCGCGGCATTTGACGCCCATGTCCACTTGCGTGACGATGACATGCTCCAGGTATGCGAATATAGAACTCAGCCTAACACTGACGGGCAACTCATGAATGCTAAAATGATCTCAGATCGTCGCTCCGACGGTTCGCCCTGGAGGAGTCAACCAGGTACGCCCCCTCGAATCCCAATCGTCGACTTCAACCATCTACTAACACAGCCTAAAAAAGGCACTGATCATGCCTAACCTGCAAAACAACTTGGTAACAAGCGTCAAGCGCGCCCTGGACTACTCATCGCGCATCAAGGCGGCCCTGGGCAAGGACGAGGTCGACCTGCTCATGACCCTCTACCTCCACCAAGACGTCACGCCTGATACCATCAGAGAGGCCAAGAAGGCCGGTGTCGCCGCAGTAAAGAGGTGTGTTTTATTAGGCACCTTGAAAAGTGCATTGGCAGCATGTTGGTTATTGACTCGAGGCTTGCTACTAGTTACCCTGCCGGCGTCACCACCAACAGCGCCGATGGCGTCGTCGACTACGATGCCTTCCACGAGGTCTTCAAGGCCATGGAGGAGGTCGACTTGCTTCTCTGCCTCCACGGAGAGTGCCCTTCCCACGCTGGTAGCGACATCACCACGCTAAACGCCGAGTCAAAGGTAAATTCTCCCGCAAATTATGTCAAAGTGCGCGTCCGTCTGCTGACATTCTTGGGTCCAGTTCCTCCCTACGCTGAAGGCACTTCACGCCAAGTATCCCAAGCTCAGAATCAGTAAGTACCAATCACTTTTCGTCTAAGGAGACAGAATTTGATCAACTGACTTCACAGTCCTCGAGCACTGCACAACCGCCGAGGCTGTTGCGGCCGTCAAGTCATGGTAGGTGACGATGCCTTCGAACTGTCGCAATTTTGACTGACTAGATACAAGTGGTCCCAACGTTGCCGGCACCATCACTTGGTATGTAGCTCCAACCTACTTCAAGAACACAGCCCTGATCAAATCGATAGTCACCACCTCTTCATCACCATCGACGACGTCGTCGGTGATGCGGTAAGAGATGAGAATCCTTCAACCCCTGACTTTTCCAAGACTGACATTTATCATGTAGCTCAACTTCTGCAAGCCCGTTGCCAAGGCAAGTTTTCCAGCAGAAACATCCATCATCTTCTTCCAAAGAAAAAGCAGAAGCTAACAAACCCCACCAGCTCCCCGCCGACCGCAAAGCCCTCCTCAACGCCGTAGTCAACAGCAACGGCAAGTTCTTCCTCGGCACCGACTCCGCCCCGCACCCCATCACCGCGAAGACGGGGCCCTCCAAGGCCGCCGCCGGCGTCTTCACCCAGCCCTACGCCGTCCAGTACCTCCTCGCCGCCCTCGACGAGGCCGTCGCCCGCGGCGAGCTCGCCGACGCCGACATCACCCAGGAGGCCCTCGAGGGCTTCGTCAGCGGCTACGGCCGCAAGTTCTACGGCACCGAGGACACCAGGAAGGAGCGGATCCGCCTGACCCGCGATGGTGGCGCCGTCGTCCAGCAGACGTTTGAAGGCAAGGGAATCCAGGTGGTGCCGTTCCGCGCTGGTAAGGAGACCTGGAGCCTTACCTGGCTGTAAACGTTTGCTGTGGTGAAATGAAAGCCAGCATTGTGGATGATGAATCCGGGTCACGGTTCGTGAAGGCAGGCGGTTGTTCGATCAGTTATTCGCTTGCGACTCCCCGTTGTTGGTTCGCATCTTCTATAATACATACAGTTTTTCAAGCCAGGAAACAAAATAAAAGCGATACCTTGATAATAGCCACAACTCTGTCATGCCTCGTGTCTCATCATTCCAACCTTGCCATATCCGATCCAACAACTGATGCCAAGATAGTAGCTCTAGTAGGTCTCATATCTGCGGCCATCATCCCTCTCGCCTGTGTTCGCGTCAAGAGAGCCCAGCAGAGCGAAGTTATTGGAAGTGGCGAAGGCACTCATGTTCTGGTGTGAATGCGGATTTGGGTCGGGTGTCTGCTTTGAAGGCGGACCGATCGGGCCCCAAACACAAGAGGAGGTTGGCGAGTCCATATTCTGCTGGTAGGTATGTCTCGAGTCTGTTACTCATATTAGATTTGACTCCGTAGAGGAGGGGATGATGGTCAACTTACCAGGCGAGTTCCTGTATCCTGCACCGGGTCTCACCAGTGATCCTGCGCTCATCTGTCCCTGGTTCCTGCCACGCTCACCTCTCCGCCATGACGGCGTCGCTCTCGTCGAGCTGGCAAGACCCTTGTCACTAATCATGGGTGAATCCAAGCCAGTTTGAGATTGCTGACGAAGATCAAAGTAGACCTCGGCTCCGCTGCCCTGAGGCTGTTGCTGCTGCTGCTGCTGCTGTTGTTGCCGAACTTCAGTCTGCTGCTTCTTCCACCATGCCGGCAACCCATGGAAAAGACCAAGTGAGTGCTGTATCGCCTTATCGAGGGGCATCTCATGCTTGTACTTGCAACCTTGCTGGGTGAATGCGCAGACGCCCTCATGAACCCACTTGTCACAGTAGATCTTGGGCTTCTTTGGGGAGGTGGCAACGATCTGATCGATTCTGCGCTACAAATTTACAGACTGTTGTCAGTAAATGAAGTTATCCATGAAATACATGTCCGGAATAATGTGAAGAATAATGGCTTCAAAGAAACAGGTGAGCATACCTGAAGGGCATCAGATACCGGTGTCGGTGAAGACGAGGGTGACTGAAAGGTTCAGCGCCAACACTTTGGTGCCTGACAAGGAGCGGAGAAGAAAAGAAGGGAGTCAAACATACTCTAAAGGCAACAGGCTGAACAGGGCTGCCAGCTAAGTTCTGAGGGTCCACGCCTCGAGGCTGTGGGAGAACAAGCAGACCTTCAGCACTGTTCTGAATGACCGGTATGCCCACCAAAGGTGGAAGCGAGTCGGCAGGAATCAACCTGGTATAATTGCCGTTTCCACGATCCAGGCAGTAGCCGTGGAAGCCCGAAGTGTCGATGTTTGTGTTCCTTCCCATGCTTGAAGCCTGACAATCTTGCACTTGTGATCCTATGATCATATACTCAGTGCCGCTGGCCGACGAGCTGAATGAGCTGTAGTGCCTGTGGCCTTGACCGCCTCCCATACCCATACCCATGCCCATGCGCCAGTTCGGGGCATCGACGCTGCGGGGAGCGTTTGCGAGGCTGTGTCTCATAGATGTTTGCCCAGACACAGGCTGAGGGTATTCGGGAGGATAAAATGGTTGAGGCGGGTTCTGGGGATCGAAGAAGACGACTCGGGGGCTTTCCATCTTCCCGTCGCTAATCTGCAAGTTTTGGATACCGTTCAGTTCCAATTATGCCTCAGATTCAGGTGCCGTGTTGCGAATAAAGCCTCGGGAGCCCCGTGGCGAGTATGATTTTTCGGAAGTGGAGTGGGCAAGGCTCGATTCCATGCTGCAGGAGCGAAGAGAAGTGAAGAAGGAAGGAAAGAATGGAAGAGGAGAGGATGAAGAAGAATTAGAAGCAGAGTCTATGTTGGGTTGCTTGGAAAAAGTCGAAAACGGATCAGACTAGGGCACGGGAGATATTATGGAGGATTCGGACCACCTTGCAAACGGGGAAGGAGACCAGCACTTTCTACCTTGTCTACCTTGTGATGCCGTCGACCGAGAAGGCTACTTCCAACGCGTCGAGATGCCCTTTTGAACCTCATCAAAGACGACTTTGATGTCGTCCACCGCTTGCAGGGCGGCTAGAAGTTCCGGACCAAGGCGCCAAAGGCTCAGACATGAAACTCTGATGCCTTGGACGCGAATGGTCTATAAGTCACAACAAAAGCCTAAGAAAGTCGGGAAATGTCCGTTGCTATCGTCGTTTGCTCGACCGAAATAAGATCCGCTGCAATCGCCCGGTTAGCTGCAGTTCTGGTTTGTACCTCAACACGTGACAAACAGCTGCCTTCTACGGTTGAACAAGTCTAACAGAGCAAATTTCATGAGGTTCGTCTACGGAGGCACAGCCTTGGAGAAACGTCAGATTGGTGTACTTTTCTATCTAAAGTCCCATCGATGCCAATGTTGTAAGTGTTGATACGTCAGTCGATACTGACGATCCGATGCAGTAAAAAGGTATCTATGTCGTCGTTTGAGCGACCTTATCTGAGAACCTGTAATGCGATAAGCTTTCTGAAGCAAATACCGAAGGTTCATTCCTTTCGACGATCATTCGTCGTGGCTACCAAGTGTAGCTTCTCTATCAGTTTTCGTTCAGCGGCAGGGTTTCTGGATGTCGATGGCCAACGCTTCAAGTGATCGAGAGCCAGACGTAATTGAACTTCTGAAGTTGGGGCTGGGCAATTGGTCGAGTAATGCCGAAAGCCGCAATCCGCGCAAGCAGATGCGTTAGGATGCATCTGGGACAAACCGAACGACGGTCTACGTGCCTTGCCTAACGTAGATGGCACAATAGGGTTGCCAGACGCTGGTTGACGTATGGCAGGAGCAGACTGTTGTTGCTGCTGGAATCCGTGAGCAGCCTGCTGAGTTGGAAGCAACTCACCGCCAGTGACCGTTCGGGCTGCTGTCAGGTGGTCAAGCCAGGCCATATCAGGCTTCATCGGTCGACCGAGACGGTTTCCTGGTGCGGGAGGGGGCTGCTGGTGGAGCTGGGCTCCGGGCTGGTGATAGATGGAGTTAAGGTTGGGCTGAGGAGGTGTGTAGAAGGGGTAGACGGGGTTGGATCGTCCGTTGTGCTGGATTGCTCTGTGGTCGTCTGGTCTGGGGTTTGGACCTGATCCAGGCCAGTTCGGATTGATTTTCCACTTGTGGAGGGCGCCTTGGCCTGACGCGATACGCTGGGAGTTCGCTTTTGAGGTGTCTGTCTTGGCTTGCGTGGAGTTACCGTTTTGGTTTTTTTGTATTGCACGATGTCGGTTTTGGACGTCTTGCGCTGTCGCTTCTTCTGTGGTGTGGATGTGTCAACTTGCTTTCTTTTCACGCCACGCGTAATTTTCTTAGTTGAACGAGAAGCTGAAGGTCTAGCTTTACCTTTGGAGTTGTCATCCCTATTTTCCATGTCAGTATCAGGATCCTCCTCCTCATCTCCACCGACAAACTCTCCGTCATTATCGGAGCTGTCGCTGTTGATGGGGAGGTCAGTGACCACGCCGGTGCCGCCGTTATTCTTGTAGCTGATTGCCTGAGATGAATCTGTTAGAACACTAGGGAAAAGCAAATATATCCGACAGTGATTGTTTACCTGACGCCGTCGACCACCTCGACCAAGAACTTCCTTGTTCAACTCGGCAACGCGTTTAGCTTCTGCTTCTCGCTCTGCCAAGATCTCCTCCCATACGTTAGGATTCACTGTGGGCTCGTTTTCTTCAGCAAGATTGTCTTCGAATCCGTCTTTGTCATTGGCCCATACACGGGCGAAGGAGAACTGAGACTCAGCGGAATCGTCGTCGCCGGTCTTTGTCTGTTCAATAGTCGACCGGTCCAGGAGTTTGTCAACGCTTGCATCATCGTATCGGACGATGTCCTTTTCGCTCTGATCATCGCTGAATAATGCTGAGGCACCGAATTTCAAGATCGATTCTAGGTCTTCAGACTCTCCCACATCGTCCATTGCCTCAATCAGAACATGGTCGAGAGCCATCTTCTTGCGGCCGATTTGCATGATCTTTTCCTCTGCTGAGTTTTTGGTCATGAGTTGAAAGCACAGCACCTTATCCTTCTGACCGATGCGATGAGCACGCGAAATAGCCTGAATATCTTGATGGGGGTTGAAATCAGGATCCAAGATGATGACAGTGTCAGCAGTCGCGAGATTGATGCCCACGCCGCCAGCTCTTGTGGAGAGAAGGAATGCAAAGACTGGAGAGTCAGGTTCGTTGTAGTCATCGATATACTTCTGCTTTTCCCGACTGCTGAGACTGCCGTCAAGTCGTCGGTACTGGAAGCCGAGACCGTTTAGGAAATCTTCAATGATGTCCAATTGGTTCAAGAATTGGCTGAAGATGAGAACTCTGTGTCCTCTTTCTTTCAGCTTCGGCAGCATAATGTTGAGAAGCATTAACTTCCCTGACGCTGAAATTAGATTCTCGTGTAGCTGGGCTTGGTCAACCGTTCGCTCTTCGACTGCTTCGCTGTACATGAACGGATGACAGAGACATTTCCGTAGCTGCATGAGAATGTTGTTCAGACTGCCACGGTCTTTCTTGTTGACCTTGTCGTCTGCAAAGATGGCCTTGATCAGATCGGGACTCTTGGCGATGATTGACTTGCAAAGCTTCTCTTGAAGGATCGACATGGAGACGGGAACGATGATTTGAGCCATGGGAGGCAAGAACTTGAGAACCTGAGCTTTGGTCCTCCGCAGAAAGTACTGTTTGATCTGACCGTGTAATTCAGGGAGGTTCTGCGCATTGAGCTCCTGAAATTCTTCGTCGAGTTTCGCAGCATTTTGGGTCGGGTCGATGAATTGAAGCAAATTGAAAAGCTCCCGCTTATTGTTCTGCAGTGGTGTACCCGTAAGAAGGAGTCGGAAGGGGAACCGCATGGAACGAAGAGCCGTGTACAAGAGACTCTTGTCGTTCTTTAATCGCTGTCCCTCGTCAACTACCAGGCCAGCCCATTGAACTGAACGGAAGAGATGTTTCGTGCGATCGTCTTGCGCAGAGTCATATGACATGACAACAACGTGAGCCTTGATATCTTGGGAGCCGCGCGGGAAGAGCTCATATTTGTACGCCAACTCTTGCGCTTGCTTGCCACCATGGTAAGTGACTACCCGAAGGTCTGGAGCCCACTGTTTGATTTCGCGACGCCAGTTTGGACAGGTTGAGTTCGGAACGACAACAAGGAAAGGCCAGCACTACGAAAAGTCAACATCGGCACAACATAGAGCAGCCTCTTCATGAGCAGCGCAAACATACCTTTGGGTCGCCGTGAACCAGGGTCGAGATCAAGCCGACGACCTGTACCGTTTTGCCCAATCCCATTTCATCGGCAAGAATGGCGTTCTTTTCACTATGATAGTTCCATAGCATCCAGTTGACGCCCTCAATCTGGTATTCCATAAGCTTGCCACGGCGGAGACCAGGGGGCTGCTGGGCCAACTTGACGAATTTGTTGTCCTTCCACTTGTCCACGCGCTCTTTCATTTTGGCATTCGTGGAGCTGGTGAAGTACTTGCCAGTGAGGTATTCGTAGTATGCGGCCTTGAATGCCGTATAAACCTCGCCGGCATCTGGCTTTGGCGGCGAATCCCATACCGTTTCGTCGTAGCCAAGACCTTGGAATTTCACGAAGATCTTATCGACGCTCTCAATACGCTCGATCTCATCTTCAAGCGTTCTTGCTTTTCCCCCTTTCACCTTGGCCTCAAAGATGACATCGGCCATGAGAGCATCTTGGGGGATTGCCTCGGCTTCGGTAAACTTCAGGGCCAAGTTCTGATCCGCATCCTTTTTCGCAAAGGAGTTGCGCATCACACCCGCGGTAACGTGAAAGAGCCATGCACCAGGCATCCAGCTGCAATGGAAGTACGACTTGTCCTGCCACTTGATGAGATACTCTTTTTCGTCCTCATTGAAATCGCTGTAGGTCTTCCCGGATTCGAGTGAAGCTTTACCCAGGGGCCGCCAGGCAACCAGGGTCTGTATCTTGTCGGAAACCGTGCCGCAGTCGACACACTTCCAGTCGACGGAGTATTCGGCGAGTCGCTGCTGGCGAATGTCAGACACGTCTGAGTCCGTTTGTGATGATGGCAAGTGCTCATAGTGCCAGCCACGCTTGCACATGGTGCAGCGGAATAAGAGGTTGTCGGCATTGTTGACCAATGATGGAGCCACTGCCGTGACAGGGTCTTCACCACCATTTTCAAGACGGATTTTCTCCTCTTGTCTAGGGGTTTTCTTGGACGAAAATGCCGCACATGACCGCCCGGAACGTTTGCATTCTTGACACCGGCTATGTCTTGGGCTGTTCCTGTCCTTCTTGGCGTAGATGCCAATGCAGAACTTGCACTGTAGAACAAAATTGTCCACGCCAACCTTGGTGACAATGTGTTCTCTGGCAGATCTGTAGCCAATACAGCTTTTGTGGAATGATATGGAGCAGCCTTGACAGCCAATCAGGGGGCCTTTGTTGGCGGCAGGACCAGTATTGCACGTGGCGCAGATGTCGGAGTGATATTGATTGAAGGGTGCATCATGGTCAATTTGCTTGAAGACTTCCTTGATGTTCATGACCTTGGGGACGCCGACGGGTGCCGTATCTTCAACGTAGAATGATTCCTCATCCATCAATGCAAGATCAAGCATACTGCCCTTGTTCCTCGTGGATCTGCCAGACCGACGACGATCCTCAAACTCAATTGAGGAGCCACGAGACCTGGGTTGCTCGATGGTTTTGGCCTTGACCCTAAGGCGCCGTGACTTCTTGCGCCTAGCCGAGGAGGACTTTGGCAAGAGGTCGGATGTGATGATTTGAAAGTCATCATCATCGTCGGATTGTTGGCGAGGATGGTCCTGAGATAACTCGTCCAAATCATTGTCCCGACTCAAGGGCATGCTGACAAAGGCCATGCTTGTCAATTTGAGCTGTTTCTGAGTTCGCTCTCTAAGTTGGCGGCCTCGCGCGGGAGCCTCATCCACGATCCCATCGTCCGAGATCACTTTCGAGTTGTGTCTCGTGCTCGGTCTTGTAGACGTACGCTGGCGTTTGGAACGGCGGGAATGGAGCTCCTCGTCGGAATCGGAGTCCTCGCGGGTGCGGCGATGTGTCGAGCTTCGTAGACGTTTAGACTGACGGGGGGCTTCATCTTCGTCAAGCTCAATAGTATCAAGATCGGCGTCAGAGTCTGCAATCGACTCCTCCCACTCGTCTTGCCAGTGGCTGGTGTCTGGAGCCATGATGCCTTGAAATGTTTGAAGAGCTAATTGGCCTCTTTCATGCGCGAGTAATTCGTCGAAAGGTATCTTCAGCTAGTCAGCTAGGTTCTCAGAAATGCGCAAGTAGAGGCTGGGTTGAGCTGTAGATTGTCCGATTGAGGATAAGTGGCGGTCGAGAAGATGTTTTGAGAGATTGGAAAGAGTAATATGAACCTGACTGGATTGTGAGGCGGGAAGGGGCTATCGTTTGCTATTGCCAACCGCAATACAAGACTCTCCAGACGAGAGCTGTTGTATGCGGAGAGTGAGGATGGATGTAGAAGGTTTGGCAAGAAGGCACGGGTGGAAGTTGAGGTATATATACGGTAGGTAGGGATGGGAATTTGACGATTGCTTCGCAGGCAAGAGCGACCTCACATGAACCGGGGTAGGAAGGAGAGGCAACAAGGAGAGAAGGAGGCAAGGGGATGGAGCAGTTAAAGACGGGAGTCTTAACCTAGGGGACAGAAAGCGATGTAATATTTGCAAATAGATTTGCGAATAGAGGAACTTACAGTATCTTGTCGTCCATCTGTGAACTCCACTCTATACCACAGTTCGCCTTCCATACCAGGTACCTCTTCGATAACTTCATCCACGACGTCGCTCTTTATTGAGCAATACTGGGCGCGTTTCTCCGGTGATATGGGCGGTAGGATTATCTCAAAGTTCCACGGGCGCAATGTCGATACCGCCTTCCCTATGTCATCTTCTGGCTTGATAGTTTCGAAGCTATCGACTCGTTCGCTCATGATTGCCGTCTCGTTTTCGTGTGTATCATCAGCCTCAATGGAGGGAATGTGTTCGTCGACGCCGAAGTCGGTTCTGGGCGGTGTTTTTGCGATCTCCCCAGTTGCGGGTTCGGCAGCGATGTCGTCACTCTCTGTTTGAACCGAGACGCAGTCTACCGTGCCATCTACCGGGCCGTCTACCGGGGTAACTTCCATATCTTCGTCTGCCATACTGTCGTCGAGCATAACCTCGTCCTCGTCCGCAACCTTCTCCTCCGCCTCGGTCTCATCGGCACGAAGATTGGCCTCGTGGGAGGGATCAAAGTCGGCAGTGTCCAGTCCGAATAAGGCATCGCTCGGGGATCCCGCAAGTGACATTGTGGCATTGTCGTCAGCACCGGTTGGAAGGTCGTCCATGATGCGACAAGTTGCGACTTGATCACATTTACGAGGGTGTGTCGGGAGTTGGTGGGATGGCGCGGGTTGGCTCTGGAGCGTTGATCAATCTGAATACAAGAAGAAAATTGAGAAAGAGAAAATAATGCGAACAGTTAAACCAATCTCCATCTTTTGCTGGTTATAGCAAAAAAGCCGGGGGTGGGAATGGCGCAAGTTGTGGACGCTGCTTGTCAAGGCATGAAGGTGGGATTATTCGACGGTTGACGCGACGAACCTCGAAACCGCGTTGCTGCCGCTACATCCATTAAACTTAGTTCCAAAGTGGGAATTGGCTTGCTGAAAGGAGATACGTACCTGTTCCCGGTGTGGAGACTCCAGGAATAAACCCACCAGATCGCCCTTTGTGACCAATGGAAGCCCCGGTCTATCTTGTGAGTGATTCTCACCGCCCGGACCCTGCGCAGCTCTGGAATGGCAGAAAAAAAAGTTCCACGAGTCCAAGTCCCAATGAAGTGTAAACCCACCCATACGTTGCTTGACATGGTGCAGCGGAACAGCAACAGCAAATACATCAGCAACATCGGTATCATCATCATCCGGGCCCATCCCTTGTACACAATGCAATGAGTCTCCTTACAAGATGGAGCGCTTCACGCCCATTTACCGCAACCCAAAGAGCCATACAACTTTCCGGTAACTCGTTTCTCTACGGCCAAGCGCGCAATGGATCGCTTTCTGCGATACATCGTGGCATTTGGCGTTCCGACAAGCCACGCAACGATCGCACCGACCGCAACTCCAGGCCTGCATCCAGGCCGCGATTGACAGAGTCTCAAGGCCGCGGCAGATCAAGAGATGCTGCCAAATCCAAGCCCGATGCTTTCAGCGAACGATTCTCCAGTGCTATCGGTAGCCGTCGAGATGGCCCGCGAGACCGGGAACAGCGCCATTTCAAGCCCAAGAAGGCCTTCCAGAAGATGCAAGAGAGGATAAAAGAGCAGGAAGAAGAAGGAGGAAGAAAATCTCGAAGCAAGCGGTTCAACAACCCCGAGTTCTCCTTCGGCAAGAAGAGCTTGGTCTACCAACTCAACCGTGGTGAGTTGAAGGACAAGGTTGGCAAGCTGCTGGAGAAGAGTGGCGCGAAAGAGGAGGAGTTTTCGAAGCCGACGGCAGAGCGTGAGAGTGGAAACGACTGGTTCCAGGGTGGTCGACAGGATCGTCAAGACGGCCGCCAACGCGACCAATACCAGGATCGCCGTCCAGATCGGCAACACGAACGTTTCCAGGATCGCCGCCCCGATCGCCAGCGCGACCAGTTTTCAGACCGCCGTCCGGACCGCCGTGATAATCAGTCAGGAGCGAGGCCAGGTTTTGCGCGAGAGCGTATGGACTCTATGCGGGAGGGTGTCCGCAGAGAACTCGAAGCCGCCCCTCCTCGGCGGTTTGGGTCAAGGCAGCCGGACCATGAAGCATCTTCTGATCCGTCAGAATTCCGTGGCTTGGTTCAGTTCACGACAGCTGCATCGCAGTTTCTCTTTGGTCGTTCGGTCGTCAAGGCAGCGCTGAAGAATTCGCAACGCAAACTCTATCACCTCTACCTCTACCAAGGAAGCAACAAGAAGGAAAGCATGGACGATAGATGGATCTTGTCCATGGCGGAAAAGAAGAAGGTCAAGATCACCAAGCTTTACGAAAATGACCAACAACTGCTCGATAAAATGAGCAAGGGTCGACCACACAACGGCATCGTGATGGAGACATCACCACTGCCTCAGTTGCCGATCACAGGTCTCGGCGCAGAACATAGCGAGCTCCATGGCTACCCCGTCTTAGTAGGACGTCAGTCCAAGGAAGACGTCGCGATTAACGGAACCGAGGGTTTCATTCCTTCCAGGCCCGGTACGGCCCGGCCGCTTGTGCTCCTTCTGACCGAGATTCTGGACCCCGGCAACCTCGGTGCCATTCTCCGGACAGCTCGGTTCCTCGGTGTTTCCGCGGTTGCTATTACGAAGAGGACATCGTCGTCGATCACGTCTACTGTATTGAAGGCTTCAGCAGGGGCTTCTGAGGAGCTCCAGTTGTTCTCTGTGGAGGATCCGGGAGCTTTCCTCCACGCAAGCGCAGCCGCAGGATGGACATCGTATGCTGCAGTCGCACCGACGGCTGGCTTGCGTAGAGACAACCGCCAGTGGACACCGGAAAGCATTGAGGAGAAGAAGCCTCTTCTTTCACAGCCGTCCATTCTCGTTCTTGGCAACGAAGGTACAGGTCTCCCTTACGATATCAGGAAGAAGGCCACCCATGAGATTACGATCCCGCGAGTAGCGATGTCGAGCTCGGTTGATAGCTTGAACGTCAGCGTAGCCACGGCCTTACTCTGCAACTCGTTCCTGAGAGGCACTGCAGAGCCTAACAGTCTTACAGAGAGGCTGCAGAAAGAAGCTCACAAGGCAGATACCGGCGAAAGCATGTTTTAGCGTGGTCTCTACTGTGGGAAGATGTAACACCATATATGATCATGTAACATATTGTACAAATATCTGTAAAAGTACATTTAGAATATCTGACAAGACATGGGAGGGCTATTTCGGTGAACCAAAGCCAAGCCTCCCCTTCTCTATATAATAAACATCCATTACGAAGATAACTAGTAGCAAGAGACCTTGATGCGAGTTCGCATATGTCATGCTGTCTTCGAGATGTCGCAAGCACCTACTCCGTAAACGTATTGGGGTGTCCTGGTGGCCCCAGGCTTCCCGTCCCGCGGACCCCTGCAAACCTTAGCAGCCAAACCCCTGACAACACCCAGGCCCGTGTCTCTCCCGCCCCTGCCACCAAAGCTTGTCGGCAAAACGGCCTTGAATGACGTCTTTTTGGCATCTGTCAGCTTGGCCCAGCCCCCTAAAGAATCTTTAGCTCAGGTACGTACACAAAGCTATAGCCAGCCCGCAGCCGCTGGAGACCGAGAAAATAAGCACTGGTAAACAAACCGACAACAAGACAGCAAAGCAAAAGGGGGAAGCAATACTTGGGAAAAAAATATTGCTGGGGTGATCAGATCTCGGGTTTGACGTGTACTTGCTGCGGGCCACAGACAAAAAGTTGACAGCGGTCAGATACGAGGGCGGTGAGGTGTCGCAGCCTGTGTCGAAGCCCGAGCAAGCTCCATCGTCTTGCAGCTGGGATCTGGACTCCCGGCGTGGAGCGTACAGCGTGGAGCGAGGAGCGTGAGACTGCCAGGTGAGTTGTGCATCTTCGCCCAGCCACCGATTTCCGCGGCGCCATCCACGCCTCACTAAATGCCCGACCAGACCTCTTCTTTTTTTCCTCTTTACCCTTTTCAATCCTCTACATCAATCCGAGCGAACCTCTGCAGATTGACATTCCACACCAAATCCTCGATCATCGTTGACAAAGATCGTCGGTGTCAGTGAACTACCCTAAACTGACAGGCGCGACCCAGCGCCACTTACACACAGAGCCTGGGGCCCGGTTGACGACTTTAACCCAACTTCAACACCATCATCGTCAGCTCTGGCACTCATTGCGATCGTTACCAAAGGGCCGTTGCCTCGAACTCGACAAAATGCGTTCTCATCCGCTTCTGGGTCTCCCTTCCTCGCTCTTGCTGCTCACAGCAGCATGCATCACCGCAGAGCACCCTGGCCTCATCCGCAAAATGTCACCAAACGCCGGGGAGAAGCTCCTGCCCAATGACCTCGCATTCACACCCAACGACGTCTTTGGGACAATAAACACAACTCCGCTCTCGCCCCGTGAAGAGCTGCTCGCCGCTCGCATGGCCGACGACAACTTTCTTTCCAATACCTCGTTTTCATACCGACCGCCCTTTGCAGAACATCATGACAGCACGACCAGCATCGGCTGGGAGAGCCTTAGGCGCGCCGTTGAGGCACTTCACATTCTCGAGAAGAGGCAGTCTTGCCCGACAACTATGAACAGCTGCGAGTACATCGGAGCCGCAAACAAGTGCTGTCTGAGCAACGAAGTGTGTGTCAAGGTGGTCGACGAGCACGTTGGGAACGTCGCCTGTTGCCCCAAGGGTGCCGCTTGCAGCGGAGCGGTTGCGGCATGTCCCAGCGGTACCACGAGCTGTGATGCGGAGATGAGTGGTGGATGTTGTATTCCGGGATATGTCTGCCAGGGCGTTGGCTGTAAGTATTCACACACTCTTCCATACTTGGCTATAAGCTGACATGACCAAGGCGTACCAAGCCCTCCCCCGGCGACGAGTGCTTCACCCACTCAGACGGTCACAGGCACTGGTGGAGGTGGAGGTGGAGGAGGCGGCGGCAGTACCGGTGGCGGGGGCGGAGGTGGAGGAGCAGGCACGACAGTCGTACAGACCATCACCACGACGTCCGTCTCTACAACGACACTCGTTGACGGGAGAACCACGACGGTGCATGTGACGGTAATCGTAACGGTAAATCCCGGCGGAGCGACCACGAGAACAACCACGACGAGCACAGCCCCCGAGGAGCCCTCAACCACGACTCCAGAGCCTACAACGACGACTACAGGCACCGCGGTGCCTCCATTCCGACCGACATCCACCGACTCTGACGAGCCTCCAGTCACATCCGCGTACTGCCCGACCGGATTCTACGCCTGTCTCGCCCGCGCCGGTGGAGGCTGTTGCCAGACTGGCCGCGACTGTGCCACTACTTCGTGTCCGCCCACAGAATCGACCACCATTATCAGCAACGGCGTCACCGTCGTAGTTCCCCTTACCGAGGTACCGGAGCCCCAGGCAACGGAGACCTGCGCGAGTGGTTGGTTCTTGTGCGGCTCCGAGGGTGGTCCCGTCCCTGGCTGCTGCCCGAGCGGGTACGAGTGCGGTACCGCGAGCTGCTCGAGCATCTCACCGACACGCACTGGTGAGATCCAGAAGCATTTCCCCAATTCGGGGGGTTCAAGGGCTGTGGTGTCGTTGGCTGCCGTGGCCGTCTCTCTTATGGTTGCGTTATTTTGATTCTACAGCATCATTGCATTGGGCGGCGTTTATAGACTGGAATTTTCAAAGGCACTGAGGATGGACTCCATTTGAAATTTAGAAGCAACAAGGAACGGAAATTAGGATGGCCGGGGGGACGTATACGAGGGATGTATAATGGCCTTGGTCACAATGAACATGAGAGGATTTCCCGAGGCTTGAGCTTAGGGAACGTACTCCAGCACACACACTCAAGAGAGCACATATTGAAGAACGTACTCCCGTCGTCTCTTATTCAATTTGCAACACAGTCTTGACCTTGGCATGAGATCTCCACTTTACACAGATCAGTGAGTGGTGTTGCCGATCAGCTGCTCCCGCTAAAACAACGCTCCCACGTTCAAGATGAAGATGTGGATGACATGGAACCTCTGTTCGAAAGGCAGAAAGGAGTTTCCGTGCCGTCTAAGACGAAAGACTTGTAACGCGTGACGAGAGATAATATGAAAATGGGATGTCAATGATTGGATTTATCTGTACCTCCAGGGCCTCCAGACTAGCTATGGTACTCGATTTTCTTCTCAGAAAAAATCAAATAAAGAACTCAAATACAAATAATGCCCCCCCCCCCCCTCCTCGCGGTCCTCATAAGAGTGACGGAAGACTCGAATAAAAAACTCCGTGCGCCGTGTAAAAGTTTACCCCCCGTCTCGAGACGAGGCTCTATGGAGACTGTTCCCCGCCCACGATGATGCGATTGGTGACTTTGGTATTAAAGTAAAGAGGTATAATGCAAAAGATTCGGGCCCTTTTTTCCTTCTTTCACGGGCCTACCTAGTGATGTGTGGGGGGGGTATGTATGAAATTGCTAAGGAATGATTGTATTGTTGGACACCTTGATGAGCTCTCGCCTGGAGAGGGGTGGTGATGTGAACCGCGTCGAGTAAGGGGAAAACAGAAACAAGTCTAGATGAAGTAGGCAGCGACGATGCCAGCAACGACGAGAGAGCCGACAGAGTTGTGGACTGCCGCGGCGGTGGGCACGGAGGACGGGTTGGTGATTGTACCCGAGGGCGGGATCGGTGTGCGGGTGCCTGATGGGCTGCTGCCGGGTGCGGTGGTAGTAGGGCGACCGGAGCTACCACCGCCACCGCCGTTACCACCGCCGTTGCCACCACCACGGCTCGTCGGAGCGGTACCGTTCCCAGAAGGAGCAGGTCCACCGCCAGTACCACCGCCGCCGCCGGTTCCAGTAGGTCTAGATGGACCAGCAGTACTCGTTATCGTACCGTTACCAGACGATCGAGGCGGAGGACCGATCGGGTACGTAGGTCTCGGGACATACCCGGTCCCCGTCCCCGTTCCGGAGGCGTAGGGGGTGCAGACGCTGGGCGGGAGCTGGAAGGGGCTGGGGGAGGCGTAGACGACGCAGTTCTTCTCGCAGGCGGCGTCGCCCGAGTAGGGCTGGGACATCCAGCACAGGGAAGGGTTGACGCCGAGGGGAAACTGGCCGGCGAGGTTGTTTGTGCAGCGGCCCGGTTGGCCGCGGCCGTTTGCGTCGCAGCGGATGATGATGTCTGTGCCGAAGGAGTCGCCTGCGCAGAAGGCGGAGTTGGGTCGGGAGCAGATGTATTGGCCTGTTGTTGCGTTGCTGGTTTGTGGTGTTAGTGAGGGCGAGGGCGAGGGCGAGGGCGAGGGCAAGGGAGAGGGAGAGGGGGTTTGGCTTACTATGTGACTTGGGCTGAGGCCAGCGCCGCAACGGCGAGGAGGAGGGTGGCGGATGTCTTCATGTTGATGCGCTTCTAGTTGGGTGTGTCGCGGACGTGAAGATGGTCGAGGTAGGAGGCAACGGAGGATAGACGAAGCCTTTCTGTGTACGTGCAGGTTGAAGCTCACACAAAACGAGGGGATGTGATTTCTTTATGCTGTGGTATGGAGATATGAAATGCTGATGATGAGGGAAACCAAAGGGATGAGAGGTGGAATCATCCGTGATCCATATATAGATGGGCTGCGTGGAAGCAACGCTACTAAGTGAAGGGGGGGGGGGGGGCATAAGAAGCCATCTTCAGGCACGGAAAAGGAAGAGAGTCAAGATGGCTGGGATCGGCTTCCGGAGCCTAAAAGTCAGCGCATGCGAAAAGCCAAGTAACGTCAAGCTCTCTCTTTCCATCACAGAAAACGATGGCGGACCCGCTGGGTTCGAAGAAAGAAAAAAAGCGAAGACGAGAGAAAAGCCGGCGGCGGCGCTGAGACAGATGTCAACTGAGGTGTGTGATGGCGAAGCTGGGCTGGTGGCTGGCTGGCTGGCTGACTGACTGACTGGTAGCGGCGCGTTGGTGGGTTTTCTGGCGCGTCTGCCGATTAGCGAATCGGGTTGCCGTCGGGGTCTTTTCTTGGAAGGTTGAGTTCTTCTAGTTCGTCTCCAAAGGCAATGAGACTTTGGTTGCCTCTGAATCTGAATCTGCCCACCCAGTCTGGGCGGGTTTTCTCAATATTGCGTCTACTTCTGCAACCAGAATACCGGAACGGTCGGGGTGAGTGAGTTTGTGCAACGTGCAGAGAGGGAGTAACAGAGAGGAATGGGATATGCGATGGCAGGCCAAAGGGAACACCCCCCTCTCGAGCCATCTCCCTGTCATCGGCCGCGTGCTGCTTGTAGAAGGAAGCAAATACATTTTCGATAGAGCAGAGTTGCATCACTGTGTTCACAAACGAAGCTTCCAACTCCTCCCTGCAAAACGTTCCTTGATAGGATGAATTTGCGACCTGCCTCTTGCAAACCAGACTTCTCATCGTGGCTCTTGTTGAACATGATACAGAGTTGACCAAGCTGAGAACGACAGGCCAAAGATTTCGTTCTGCCTCAAAAGTGAAAATTCGAACGTCAAACAATCACCGTATTTCGTCTCGCGAATCTAGCGACATGGCTACAGACTCATATTATCAAGCCACCGGCAATCGCGCGCAGCGGTGCAAGCTGGCACGAGATTCTCCAAAGTATGACCACTTCTTCATGGAAAGACTGAGACAACTGACACGAATGCAAACCTGAAAGTGGCCGGGAAGGGAGGGGTGCCGCTCGCGCACATTCCAACACCCGAGAACGGTTGCGAAGGGGGGCGTGGGTGTTGGTGGATCGAAAGATATACACGTGCAACCGTCAAGCCACGCCATTACCATCGCCGGCTCTTCTTCGTACTCCAATCGCGGAAAGAAAAAAGAAAAAAAACCAGAAGATTATGTACATTTGTCTTTTCAATTGGACTTTTGCGCGCAATTGGCTAAGGTACTTACCCAGCGTTTGCTCCGAGCCATGCCTGCCCAATCGCCGAAATCCATTTCCGATCTAAACTACCTACCTTAGGAACCTTATTCGGCAAAGCTGAGCGCTGCTTCGTACGACAATCCAACCAAGACCCAACCCAACCAAGACTCAATCCAGCAAGAAGAGAAGAAAAAAAAGGAAGAAGAAAACACCGCCTCGTGGCTTCAGCTCATCTGAATCCGACTCCGTGGCGGCCGTATCCAAAAGACCAGACGGGCGAGATGGCTCACAAGTCATTCATATCGAAACAGCCTCACTCGCTATTTACTAGATCGGTCTCCAGCAAGCGCTTGTCCAGGTAAGCGTTGACACAAGTCCTCGATCGATTCTCTTTGAACCACGTTTACCAAGAACGGTACTTACCTAGTACCTAAGGAACCTAAAAAAGAAAGCGCCCATGTGGAAAGGCATTCTGTAGCTAAAAGTATTGGGGTGCGCAAAGTAAGTACCCAAGGTATCCGTAGAAGCAGTTGGCGTACCAGTCCACTGGAATGCGCCCCCGTCCATCTTAATCGCTAGCAGCCCCGCGTGCCGCCCCCAAGGGAACCACCAAGGTTAGCCCTACGACGAAAATAGAAACACTTAAAGTCCCTGTCGTCGACGACGATGGAGGCCGCCCCGCTGCTCCCGAAAGGTCCGGGTCTGTGCTTCCCCCTCCCCGAGTCTTTCCACAGTTAACTTGTGCGGAAGCTCTGGATAAGGCAGATTGTGAACATTCCATTGTTGGTACGCGTCGCGTTCAGGGCGCGGGGGCCGGTCATTCCAGCCACGGGCTTGCAATCGAGGCGAGGGGTAGAGCAAGGACCGTGGGAGCGTTGGGTTCCGTTCAACTGATGCGGCAAGGGCTGTGTCGATCAATGAAGCAAATGCCGCTTCTGCCGTTAAAGACTAGGTGGACCAATTTCTGTTGGATGCGTATTACTCTTTCTTTAGCACGCATCCTTGCAATCTACCCATACCTTCGACGTAGACTTTATTGTCTATTGGAAATGTCACGGGGCTGTGGAGATGGCTTCAGAAACTCTCAAGGTACGAAAATCATTCATTCATTGACTACATCCAACGTACACCTGTGAAGCACAACGTTCATCAACTCAACTTTTGCAGTCATAACTCCAACCTCCTTCAACAACGCCTGTGCCATCGAGAGAGACCACGTCCCACCATAATTGCTCCTTAATTCCAACCCTTCGTTATGGCAAAGCCTTCTTGTTCCATCCTCGCAACCATGCTGCAATGCCTCTTTCTCAGAGCTCCTCGTAGACCTCAGTCTGGTTCACCATGGCGCTGAGAGGGCCGCGCTTGACCATGATGCTCATGATCTCATAAAGCGCATCAGCGGCGGCCATGGTAGTATGCTCGGCGTTCGTATCGTAAGCAGGCTGGGTCCCATTTAATTAGTTTCATGTTGCTCTATACCCCAGTAGTAATAGCACCCAGAAAGAAAACTTACAGCAACCTCCACGATATCAGCAGCAATGAGGTTGAGGTCCTCCAACCCACGAAGGATGGTGCGAAGCTCGCGAGTGGACCAGCCACCCGTCTCAGGGGTACCAGTAGCGGGAGCGACTGTGCGCCACGGTCAGCTGACATTCTTCCCAACGTTTCTAGCATTTCATCACTTACATGCAGGGTCAAGCGTGTCGATATCCAGAGAAAGGTAGACAGGGTTCTTTGTGCCGACACGGTCAATGATCTTCTTGATGATGCCGTCCGTGCCAATCTTGTCAATCTCGCGAGCCTCAACGATCTCGAAGCCGCAGTATCCGTCGTTCTCGTAGTCACTGGGTCCGCTGAGCGTCGTGCGGATACCAGCGTGGATGTTGGAGTCGTTGCGCAGCAGTCCCTCCTGAGCGGCATGGTAGAAGTAGGTGCCGTGGTTGATGCTGGCGACCTCTGAGGGAGAACCGCCAAAGACCTTGGGGCGCCCTACACATTGTAAGTTTTGCGATTTGCGCCTTTATGGATCATTTCATTTGACTTACAAGTATCAAGATGACTGTCAAAGTGAATGACAGACACGGGACCGTAGGCACGGTTGATAGAGCGCAGCAGGGGCAGGGTGATAGTGTGGTCGCCACCCAGAGTGATGACACGAGGCAGGGTGCGCTCGTTCTTCGCAGGTCCCTTCTTCGCCGCATCTGTGGCAGGCTGGCGTGAAAGGATCTCAAAGTGTCCCTCTTCGATCTGGTGCAGAGCCCACGTGTTATCGTACCTTGCTTCGAGTTAGCAAGCAGGAAACGGGCGAGCAAGGTCCGTGTTGTCTTCTCACGATGTGACCGGAATGTCTCCGCAGTCTAGGACAGTAGCCCAACTGTTGAACGGGTTTGTAGCCAATGGCACATTGTAACCTCCGCTGCCTGGTGTAAGTATTCTTCCTTGCAAGCAATCAGTATCTTGGCACGGGGATAGGCTTACTAGAGGTTCAGGCGGCGTGAGCCCTGACGAATTCCTGACGGGCCAAAACGGGCACCAGGGCGGTACGAAGTACCAGTGTCAAAGGGCGCTCCTGCGTGGTGTAAGTGCTATTCACAGATGACTGTTCTCCGACTTCACTCACCAATGAAGGCAATGTCATACTTGACATTCTTTGCCCCGAGGCACGGCTGGTACGGCAGGCGTCCAAAGGTGGAAATGCCCGAGAAGACAGAGTCGGCCTGAAATGTGTAAGACAACGCGCGAAGCCCAGGTCAATGGCGATCCTAAATACCTGAGTACCGCCGTCACCCGGAATCGTGTTATACCAGAGGGACTGGTGAGGTCCGGACATGGACTTCTGGTGGTCGTCGTGGTCGCCGTGACCATAAACGGTTGCCGCAAGGCAGAGTGCGAGGATGCTTCGAGAAACCATGGTGCTATAAGTCGACTATACAGTAATTTCAAATTGCAGCTACTACTCAGGGCGAAATTCAAAGCTCATGAAGAGGAATGGCCTTGACTTTATGAATCTCGGCGAGCTGCAAGGTCCCGTTCTATGTCAGAAGCAGATTGGCCAAGGTTCGACAGCTCTTCTCCACGCATGATGTTTTATGGTGGGCATCAGGTATGGCCCTGGGTTCGGCTCGCAAGCTTATCGTCGATGTATTAGCCACACAACAGGAGCTCCCTGAGACGCTTACTGGTCAATGGATGACCATCAGACGCAATGTCGGTCAAAACGATTAACGTGTTCGCGTTAGGTAAAGACCAGGGCCTCGGCAGACGTGCTGGCAGTGCGGGGCAAGAGATAAAGCTCCCTCCACCCTTCTCCAATGTCATGATGCTTGTAAGATCAGCGTAGATGCTTGGTTCGAGCTTCGATTGGCTTCGAGTCTTGCCGTACCCGGTCTCTGTACTCCGGACGGAGAGCCCTCAAATCAAGCGGTGCTGCATGTAGTGGCAGGGTTCTGCCTACTACTCAGGTATCCAGGCGCCGTCGGCGAAGCCATTGCCGTGGAGAGAACGGTCCAAGTGTCTGCTCCTAGGATGCTAGGTCCTAGGACGGACGGTCTGGATGCTGTGAGCAGGGCGGGGTCAAGCTGGAGTGTGGTCGGTATTATGATGCAAACTCTGAACGAGATAAGCCAGAATGGGTTCCCCAAATGCACCTTCTGCAGGGTCATCAGCCGGGCCTTGAAGAACAAGTCTGTAGCGTTGACAGCGCCAACCCGGTTCCGCGGGGAAGCGTCTGTTGAGCTTGTAAAAGTAGAGTCACTTTGGCCAATGAGATGGCCCTGAACAACATTAGCTCATGAGTCGTTGGAAACGAAGAAGCCTTCTCCGGTCTCCAAGAGAGTCCTGGTTCTTCAGAAATGCATTGGTGAAGAAGGTCCCTCTAGATGGGAGTCCTCGTCGATGACGTGGGGCAAGCAGCAAACTCCCACGCGGGGCTGATAAGATAAAGCTACGGCACGCTAACACATGCAACCTGTGCTAGGCGCTTACCCGAATAGGAAAACAAGCAGTAACGGCCACCTCGGTGCACTTGCAACCCGCCATGCACACTTTGCAGGCTGCTCGCCTGGAGAGATATCGACAGCGGCGATGAGATGAGACGTGTTGCAAGACCGGGCCCGGAGAGCTGATAAGCAGAGTACGCCACTTGCCCGGAAGTCGGCTTCATCAGCGGCCTGTCATGACTTTTTGAGACCGATAAGGATGATTTGTTATTTCATGCATAAGCAGCAACCACTGCCCAGGATCTCAGCTGGAGGTACTTAAAGCCTAAGAGTTTCTTCTCTAAGCTGCGCTGAACAACTCGCCTGCTCAGCCGACCTTTAATGCCAACGGAGTACCGTGCTCCGGCTCATCCGCTCGTGCCGAGGTGCCGGATCCGTCATGGCCTTGCCCCTCATCGGATTTCGTGAGACTCTTGACCCACGCCGGGCCGACTCTCGCCTGGCAAGCCCTGGCGTTCACGGCGGAGCCCGGGAGTGCTCCGCCCCGGCGCCATCCCGCGCCCGTTAAGCTTGCCCCGGCTGAAACAAACCATTCCGGCACCTCTTCCCTTGAGAGGAATGCGTGGTACAGTCCGGAAATAATTTACTATTGCAGCGGAACATCAGCTGGACTCTGGAAACTTCAAACACAGAAGACGATCCGCGCGATAACTTATCAGAACAGTACTTGCTAAAGTCAGGGTGATGATTACACAGTACCCAAGGCACGGGTGCATTTTTTTTTTTTTTTTTTTGCTTCTCTCTTTCTTTCTTTCTTTCTTCTCACACTTCAGCGGGGCGAGCTGAACTACGGCTGCTGCTCTGTAATCATGACAGCGCTGCCTATCGTGTTTCTTTGCAAGTCAATTTGCCGTCCCCGACTCCCTGTGCATCCTTTGCAGTGGCTCTGTTTCCAAATCTGCACCTTGTCTTATGCAGCAAGCCGTGGCAGGTCGCTGATTCGCCTCGGGGCTTGTTGGAGGTCATGCAGGTCGGAGAGAAGGACGCCGAGTTGCACAGTTCTGATTTGTCTGGAACAAGCACAGGAAAAAGTGGTTACGACTTCTTTGTTGCTGCATCTGCGCTGTTTTTGAATGATACGGGAGACCAGATGGCGTCGTTCAACCGGGCATAGGAATCGCTTACAGCAAGATATGCAGCCTAAGAGATACGTGGTATGCCACGCCGGTCTTCTCTCAGCCAGCTAGGAAGGACGCCTCATCAAGAAGTTTTGACACGCACAAGCTCTCAGAATCCATACCTATGGGTTAGAAAGTGCGAGCGACTCCCTATTGGACGACATGGCTTGCAGAAAATATGGCCGAATCGGTCGGAATACCTTACCTAGGGCATGTTGGAGCAAGTGAGGGGGGAGACCCAAGGCGAAGACGGAGGCACACGCACAAGAATACCTTCCGCACATACAACTGAGTACCTACTGAGGAGTGTAGAGGGGGGGGGGGGATTCATAGGAGAGAAAGAGAGAGACAGAAACAGGAGGGCTAGGGGAGAAAAGCAGGCAAGTACACTCACTCACTACCTACCTATACCGGAGAGGAAAAGTTGGCATGGCTTTGCAGAAGAAGGAAACCACGCCTGCAGCACGATGCAACCACTCAAGCAGGTTCCAACCTATAAGAGGCCGTTGCCACCCTGGTGCAGGTTGACTTATTGGCGGGCGGATTGGGCCGGCCCCGTTTTTCCCGGCCGACTTGAGCCCGCGTAGTGCGCTACGGCGACAGCTGGGAACTTGGGATGGTAGAAGAGTTCCTCATTCGGCCCCCCTGGCGGAGCTACTGCTGCTGGGCCACACGCGCCTTTCCTCTTGGTATCCTGGCAGAGTGGTGCATCACGAGACGAACTCAATGCGACTGGAGGACAAAGGGGCGGGGGGGGGGGGGGGAGGGGGACGACGATATCAGTGTCTAGCAGTACACACTCGTAGAGGGGGAGAAAACTGCAAGTGCAGGTTTTTCGGATCATGGCTGGGGAGTGAAACATCCACCAATTTTACACTGATACAACTGACTCTGTGCAAGGAGCTGCTCATACGTTACTGTACATACAGGTTTGGTTTGGCCAGGAATACATACGTAAGTGCTAAGGTAAGGTAAGGTCAGGTAAGGTAAGGTAGGGCAGTTTGCCTGGCTGTTCGTTCCTTTCCCCGCCACCCGAATTTTCTCTAGCCAACTTCCTCTGCCTCCTTTTGGATTTGAGACTTGGAGCGCGACCACTGCTACCTGACAGGAGGAACCTACTAGGAATCTCCTTGACTCGGCAGGTTTGGAAAGGCCCCGAATCCACCGTCCACGCGGAGCACGCACAGTTTGCGACGGGGCTGCCCAGTCTTTTTTTCGCGCGCAGCCGTCAAGAAACGAACAGGTTGGACCCACGTACCATTGGACTGAGATGCGGCCCTTATGTACTCTTGCAAGCTGTTGCAGTAGAATGGTACATTGACCTCACTTCACCTCGACCTCTCTTCCTTACCTTACCTCACCTTGGGTACCTAAATACCTAAATACCTAAGGTAGGTAGGTAGGGTTCCTAGCACTTCAATGATGTAAGTATCATGTACCCATTTACCGGCGCGCAACGCCCCGCCATTCTTCTTTCTCGCACCTATCGCCAGCTTTCCTCCTCGCCCGTCTCTGCAACCCTCAGCCACCCACCACTAATCTTCTCACGTCCGGATACTTGCCGCTCCATCTCTGCTCTGCGCTGCTTGATCTACCCTTGTCTCTCTTCTCCCACCCCAAAGGCCCAAAGGGCGCATTCTCTTCCTTTGCGTCAGACCCTTTCCCGCCCTGCCAATCATCCTTCCCGTCTATCTTTTCTCAACCGTCGACTTGTCTCCGTCGTCTCAACCTCCTGAAGCCGTGTCCTGCACCAAAATAGCGCCAGCGTCCGTCCGCAGGTTGCAGGAAGCCTTGGATCGCCCTTTTTTCCCTCCTTTTCACGCTTCCACCAAGCCCGGCTGAAGCGCTGCGTCAATCTCACATATCGTCCCGTCCTCTCTCTGTCTAGGCCCCCCTACTCCTCTCCCTACGTCGGTCTGTGCGACTTGCACCCGATCAGACCGCATCCCACGCCCGAGTATTCGTCCTCGCCTCATCCCCCTCCTTCTGTTTCTCTTGACAGCACAAAACACGGGCCGTACATCGTGACCACTGCGACCCCGTATTCTTCACCTCAACCAGAGAGATTCCGTCTCATATCGCTGGGTTGAACCACCTTGAGGATTGTGCTCCGTCTCATCGCTTCTGTTGTCTCTCTCAAGACCATCATCGGTCACTGGACGCCACTGGACTCCGACGCGATTCACCAACCAGGTCTTTTCGATTCAATGTCTCACGCAAACCCTTAAGACTTTGTCGTCTCAACCAGCACCGGGTTTTCAATCTTCACCTGATTTCACTCAGCACTCCGAATTGTTCAACGTCGTACCGTCGGCCACTTACTTCCTCATCTCAGTTACGAACACGCCCATGAACCTCACTCTGCTCAGCATGCAAAGAACTCTGGCCCTCTCCCATCCTCGCTAACCTGCGAAGGGTCAACGTGTGTGCATTCGAAGCGCGTCGCATGCCCTTGGAACGCTTTTCAACAACCGCCCTCTGAAATGGCTGCTGCTACGAGCCTCAACTCTACCGCCATGTCGGTTCGATCCAAGAAACAAGTATCGACCTTGCCTGCAGACGGCTTGCAGGCGCAAAGAATGTTCAAAAAGCACAAAATACTGCCGCACCCTAGGCGACATGCAAGCGACTCTGCGCATTCCTATGAAGTGCGATCGACGCCTAGGAAATATGACCTCGACGTGGACGCGGTAGCGTCACAAATGCGAGGACCGCAACAGCAAAGCCCCCAGACACTGAGACACCAGCCTAAGCGGATAGGCAGTGGCCCGGATTTGCCTCCAACACCGCCTTCCCACTCGCGAACCTCATCGAGCACTCACTCCATCCAGCATCCAAGCCCAGCGCCCGCCGAACCTCATGCGCCGGAATCGCAGACACCAACAACCCCAGCGCGCGCCCCAGCCACTCCTCCAAACCAAAAAAGTCCACCAACGCCAGATGTGACGCCTCCCCAACCTGCTACTCGCCCCAAGGTTGTTCGACCGATACCTATCGACCGCACAGTATCGAAAGCTACTACCGTTGAGTCACGAACTGAGTCTTTCCGGACTGCCAGAGAGGAGCCCTTTTCCTCGGAAGAGGACTTGCAATCGACTGTTCGGCCAAATATTCTCTCAGCAAGAACTTCTCAGAACACGGTTCGTCGCGTTTCCGAGCCTCAGGCGAGGACGCCGCCTCCAGTAGGTTTAGGCCTGGGGCTGGAGTCACCTACTGAGGACCTCCCGACCCCCAAGGCCAAGGCAGACTTTGGTACCTTTGACGGAGAATGGGCCTCGAATAACGAAGTTGAACAAGAGTGGGACGACAACCTGGGCAGAAATGTCACGGTAAGAAAGAGGCGTACTAAGCCCGAAACCCCGCCTCGGACTGGAAGACGGAGGGTCGAAATCATCGAAGACCGTGTTGTCACACCGACAAACGCTGCCAAGGCGGTGCGCGCGATGTCACAACGAGACAGAGCAGCTTTCTATGCACCCAGCGAAATCGCTTGGCCCAACACCTCCACCCCAGGAAAGACAGCTGACGCGGACTCTCGCAGGCTGTCGGGAATATCTGCGAAATCTGCAAAGTCAACCAAGTCGGTTGCGTCCACTATCGTCGAGGCAATCTTAGTCGAAGCTCCCTCAATCCCCCAAAGGAGGCAGACGCTCAGACATGTCCGGAAGCAATTTGGATTAAGGGACTCAGGCTCTGATCTGTCTCCCCTCAGCTCTGCCACAAATTCAGCTATTCAGTTAGAAGGAAGCCCGAGACGACCTAGGGCGCTCACTCGCCCTAGCGAAAGCCGTCATGACAGCTATGCCTCGAACACCACCTTCAACTCGATTTCAAGTAGCAAAGCACGCAGAGAAGTCTGGAAGAGCGGTGGCATCCCGGTCATTGTTGTCCCCGATCGCCGATCATCCAGATCTAGTCGGGAGCCGTCTCTCAGATCAACCAGCAGTAGACGATCCAAGAGAAGCACCAGTGTCGGTTCAGCGACTCGTACAAATGGTCCGAAAAGTCACGACTTGCCTACACCTGTGTTCGAACGTCCAGGGCGAAAACTCCGCTCAATGTCCGAGTCAGATGGATCCGACCAACGCACGATTGACTACCCGCCCGTCATCCCGAAGCGTTCTTCTTCTTTATCCGCTCCGACCAGCCGTAACACTTCCCGCGCTGGCTCACTCACCGCGGAAAGTTTGAAATCTCAGAACGCTTTGTTGAATCAACAGTCTGGACATGAAACGAGGATACCCGCCTTGACCCTCCAAAGAGCGACATCCTCTGAGACTGATAACGGCCACCATCACCGAGACCATAAACTCAATGTAGACCGTCACGGTGACCCCTTCTTTGGTAAACGATTATCGACGCAAAATACGCCTTTCTCAGCAGCTTCGGTGGAAACAAGCGGTACTGCGCCCGAAGTGTCTGAGGCTAAGGCTGTGAGCTTGTACCCTCATCAAAACTCATCCGTGCTTGTCGTCAACCACTCCAACAAGCCGTCGGAGGACTCTGAGGATTCGCAGACCGAAAGAGAGTTGCCGCAAACGCTCCAAAGGCCGACGATTATTACTACAGGTCCAGACGGCGAGTGCCCAGTCACACCCTCGCAACCTCAGCATTCCATGGACGACGTTGATTCACCGCTTCGCAATCCTCGCGCGGCTCCCCCAGTCCCTCCGATTAATCCTCCTGCGATTCAGTTCATCCCTGCGACGCCTTCGGGATTAACCCCCAATCATGAGAGACAACGCAATATGGGCAATTATTTCGAGGCGATGGAAGAGGAGCAACCTCAGCGGAGTAGATCTGTTATTAAAAGGGTATTGGTTCGACGACGCAACTCGGAGACGTACCCGCCCAAGAGTGGCAGACCTGGGCTCCTTACTAGAACCTTTTCTCTGACGAGAAGAGGATCAAGCTCTGGGGCTCGTGGTGACGACCATTCTGCTGTTGAAGAGCCATGTTTGTGCCCGGAATGCATGGCCCCGCCGCCCGAGGATGACCGATTGCATCCACACTGGCGTCCTGCCTACTCGGATCAGGATGACGATGCGTGGGAGAGGGAAATGGAGGATGAGCCCATCAGCCAAATCTATCGGTATCCTCCTATTGACAACCGGCCAAGCCCGCGAAGACGTATTAGCGAGCGAGTGAAGAAAACGTTTGCTATTCTTCCTGCTCGTGGTGAGGATGACGTATACTCTGGAACTCAGAACGAGCCTGATCGCCGGACCATCCGCCGGACAGACAGCGGGAACCTCCGGGTTATGAGACGCCGCGGCAGCCTCGACTCTCTTCGCGATCAATCCCCCCCACCTACCTCGGGGCCTTCCGCGAGGCAGATCGACGACCGCGATGCAGACGGGCCGCCGAAACGAAGGCGTCGTTTTTCGATTTCGGGCACTTTGGAAGGGTTGCAGAACCTTCCGCGACAGCTGAATGAGCGTAAGCGAGAGAAGAGAACCCAGGAGTTGAGGCAGAAAATCAGCGGGCCGCGCGAAGTAAGAGACGGCATGGGTGACGTCCTTCGACGGAACTCGTACCGCGGCCCTCCAAACGAACAAAATAACTTGCCTGTCGCACATTTTTGATGCGATTGCAACGTACAAAATTTTCTTAGTACTTCAGATGATATTCCATCCGGAGCACTTTTTCAACGCGTAATATATCTCGATACGAGGCACAAAAGGAGGGTGCTGGAGGAAATGAAATGGGATCATTACGACGACTACGAACGAATGCCTTTTTTCTCCTTTTTTACGACTACAGAAATCATTTTTAACGACACAAAGAATTGTTTTCTTCGCGGATTTCGGAGCTGATGACGGGGGGATGGATGAGAAAGCTTTTTAACCTTTCAGACTTTGACGACGATATTGATGACAATGATTTTGGGACTGGGTGGATCGGGTTTTTGATGAACGCTTGAACGCGCGCGCTCTCTGCTACAGATAAAGAAGGGACGTCTGATTATTGTATCATATAGAAAAAAATTGCTCGTCAAGATACCATTTTACTCAAAGTTTCTTTACTCGAGTTTCGGAACGAGGAGAACCGAAAGGACCTCGGCCCTTGCCGAGTCGAACTGCGCAGGATGGAGCTTTGCTTCTATGTCTTGTTTTGAATGTGATATTCCATGCCCATGTCATGAAGACCTAAGTTTTTATACACCCTTTTGCCCTGAATATGACGCCTAAACACCAATCCCACTTGTACCAAGAAGACACACGCGCCCCATTCTGTGTGAGAGAATGCAAAGATGATCACAAGGCATTCTACCGCCTGTCCTGACCCGGAGGTCCACCGCCGGGCGGGAACGCACCAGGAGGTCCAGGCGGGAACGCGCCGCCGCCCGGCATGCCGGGGAATTGAAAGTTGGGGGGAAGACCACCCGGCGCGCCCGGGGGCGGGAAGGGGAGGCCGGCTGGGAGACCGCCGGGCGGGGGGAACGGTAGGCCTCCGGGGGGCATTGGTGAGCCGTTGGGGCCTGGGGGGAAGGGGGGCATGGGGGGCATTCCGCGGCCTGCTTGTCCTGGAGCTATTGGATGTGGTGTTAGTTTGTTTGAGAGCTATCGAGAAGAGGTTCTTGGTGGGGCTTACGTGGGATCATGCCTTGAGGGAAGGGGGGTGCGCCGGCGGGCATGCCGGGGAAGGGAGGCGGGACACCTAGAGAGGGGTTCAGGTTAGTACTTTGATGCCAATGTGCCCATCGCCATGACAGCGCTGGAAGGGGTAGGGAGGTGAGTACGAACCTCCTGGGAAGGGGAACGGCGGCGGGAAGGCCGACCCGGGCTGGTTTTGTGGCAGCATTGGGTTGTTGTGTGCTTGACCTTCTGCGGCGTAGGAGGAGGTGATGGAGTCGATGACGGATTGGGCCTTTTCATGACCGATTTCTAGAAACAAGGGGGAGTGTGTTAGCTCTAATGTAGCCATGATGGATGCGCGAGCAACGGAGTGAGGAGGGGGAGGGAGGGGGGGAGGAGGAGGAGGAGGAGCCGTACGTTGGTAGTAGTCGACGACGTTGCGCAGGTGGTTTCGACCGCTGTTGTGCGCCTTGCGCACGCTCATGGAGTCGTGCGTGAGGTACACATCGCAGTAATCGCCTAGAATCAAAGAATTTGGGTCAGTTCGGCTGGATAGCTTCGCGGTCGGCCGGGATTTGATTGAGACGTACAGAAGACTGGGACCTCATGTTAGCTTGGTGTTTGTAGAGATACTTGAAGGGATTCGGGACTTACACTTGGGCATCTTGGCGGTAGTCTCTCGTGTACGAGAGGAAGCGGTATGAAATTGACGAGGTTCCGATTATGCAGCAGTTGAGTCGACAAAGATTGTGTTCCTTAAGCTGCAATGCCGCTTTTGTCGCATCGCGATGTTGAAAAGCGGCCGACGCGCCAAACGCCACACCCAAAAAGCTGCGAGGCTGTCACTCTCACGTGAGTGCCAAGGCACAAGGCTGCCCCATAATTGAATCCCAATTGGTCAGAGCGGTCGACCTCTACCTATTCGACAGGGGTCTTCAAGTGGGTCCAGTCCTTTTCGAACGCGACAGATTTCCAAAAATCCCCAAAGGTGGTTCCTGGAGGCCCATAGCTCTCCTATCGCAGTTGTGTCCTCGTTAGCCCAGGGAGCTCCTCTACGACGCAATTCCCACAACCCACGCCAGGCTGTTCATCTCCCTCCCCGCAACCACGACCGCCGACTTGGCACCGACCCCCGAATCGATCAAATCCTCATTCAAACCATTCTTCAGATTTGATTACGGAGAATCTGCGAATTAGCCATGGCACCGACGACATCATTGCTGCGCTACGTGTGCGGTCTTGTGCTACTCGCCTGCTGCGCCCAGGCGCTCAGGTTCGACCTGCATGCTACGAGCACCCACGAGGGCAAGAAGGAGCGATGCATCCGCAATTTCGTCGCTAGGGACACCTTGGTCGTCGTCACGGCTATTGTGGATGGTTCAAAGGGTGACGGCATGACCGTTAACATGCACGTATGTGGCCTCAACTGCTATGCCCCCCAAACAATCATTCTCGACAGCTGGGGCTTGACCTTAGAAGATATGAAAGCTTTCCGGGGATTGGAATGGGATAGCGAAGGGGGAGAGGATTGGGGAAAGGAGGGAAACTGGTCGCAATGGCAGCTTGACTAACGATGAGTGACTCTCTAGATCAAGGACGCTGTCGGCAACGACTACGGAAAGCCCAAGGACATTGCAGGCGGCGAGAAGCGTGTTGTCTTTACCTCCCACGCAGACGCCGCCTTCGACGTTTGTTTCGAGAACATCCTCTCTGGTTGTACGTCGCACCCACCCACCCCTATAACCAGCCATTTTGCCATGCCAATGGCTTGAACCCTTCACTTACCCATTTGTCCTATCCTGCACCTCACAAGAGGAGGACAAGAGCCACGAAAGCTGACGAGAGTGACCCAAACCAATAGCTGGCCGCAGCGGCGCAACGAGCCGCCACATTGAACTCGACATCGACATCGGCGCCGACGCAAAGGACTGGAACGCCATCCAGGCGACGGAGAAGCTCAAGCCCGTCGAGGCGGAGCTCAGGCGCATCGACGAGCTCGTCAGCGAGATCAACACCGAGATGGACTACCTGCGCGCCCGCGAGCACAAGCTGCGCGACACCAACGAGAGCACAAACACCCGCGTCAAGTGGTTCGGCATCGGCACGACGCTCATCCTCGTCGGTCTGTGGGGTTGGCAGATTATGTACCTGCGGGCATACTTCAGGTTTGTTGCCTGCTCTGCTTTGCTGTGATCTCTGAAAAGCTTTGGACATGCTAACCGTGTGACACCACGACAGATCCAAGCACCTGATTTAAACGCATACCTCGGTGAAGTGAAGTGAAAAGGGAAGTCAGCCAATGGCTTGCCAAGAGCGTAAAGGAGTTACGGAAGACGAGACATATTGCGCCGCCGCACAGCGGTGATGATGAGAGTCTCTGTGATGCCATCGGAAGCATCAAAAACCACCTCGGGGTTTTCGAGTGTGTATTAGTGTATGCATACATACGACGGTCACCATAAAAGTCATGAATGATATAACGCAAATTACATTACAGCAGAATCTACTTATGATGTGTTCGTTATCACTCAGACTAGGTTGGCAAATAGGAGGTTCCTGAGCTGGAGGCATACTTCGGCAAATTGCGGCCGGCCCCCAAGCGCTCTGCGTTACCCACATCGGCCCGGTGAAATCAGTCTTCACTGAACCGTTTCAATAAATGTCTACTCTGGAGACTTGACTAGTAGCCTCGAGTCGCTGTCAAATTACAGATTTGGTATACAACGTCGGCTCGATGTTCTAGAACTTCCAGTGAAGCTTTGCCGTCGGTAACCCACCATCCTGCGCATCCACCAAGCAGGCGTATGCTCTCTCCATCCCCTAACAATGCAATAAAAGCCTCCAATGAAGCCGTCTATAATGTACCATGCTCCCATAATTTTGCCCTTCCCGTCCTAGATGATATTTCCTGATAGATATTGGTACATTTCAAAACTCTTTCCCCAAAGATTGTCGGCGCACATCTCACGGCGTGATCTCAAAACCTCGCTAGTTCTTCTTGCCCGCCCTATCAACATCAAACAGAGGCGGCATGAACCCGAGACCACCCTCCTTGCGCTCCTGCACATCCCGATGCACACCGACAGTCCCGTCCGCACGTCGGCTCCGCACGTGGGCCCTCAACATCTCCAAAATCTCGCTGCCCTGCCAGCGCACGGGGACGGGACGGTACTGCGCCTTGAAGGAGCCGACGGTGTTGGCCCACTCGCCGGGGACGTCTTGCGTGCGGACGTCCTCCTTGGGCTTGGTCTGCGTAGCATTCTTGCCCGCGTCGATTGTCGAGGCGGCGCCGGTGCCGACGGGGCGATAGGACTCTGCTGCGTTGACGGTCGAGGAGGCGAGGGTGTCGTTGGACGAGGAGCCGGACGAAGAGGAAGAAGATGTCTTTTGGGTCGAGGCCGAGGCCGAGGGGGCTTCCTCCTGGGTGGCCCAGTAGTAAATGTCCCAGTCGTTCTCGTCGAGAAACAGGTCGTACTGCGCCATTTGGGACTTGGTCATGTGCGGGAGGTGCTCGTTGGCAAAGGTCGACATGAGGAGATCTGATTCGAGGGTTCCGCGCTTGCGGGACTGGTCTGTTTTTTTTTCGCAAGGCAAACGGTTAGTTTCTTGGGTTCTTTGATCTGCGTAGCTTTGCTCTCTCTCTCTCCCCCCCTCTCTCTCTCTGCGGTCTCTATCGCTTCCTCAACAGAAGTCGACTGAGAACACAGCAAAAGGGAAACAGAAAGAACTCACAAAGGAGACGGGCGCGCATCGTCCGCTCGTCCTCGCCCTGGCGCCGCAGCGGCTCGACACGGAACTTGATGCCCTCGAACTCGCCGACGCCCAGCTCGCTGTTGACGGCGGACTCGGTGTAGATTGGCGGCTTATTGTCGGCGAAGCATCTGCGGAGGACCAGGGGCGCTGCCGCTGTGGTCGTCGGTGCCGGCGCCGTAACGCGGAGGCGGCGAGCCGGACGGAGGGCGCGGGCTACTGTCGACATTTTTGGTTTGTTTTGCTGATGGACAAGAGTTCCTTTGTACGGACGTTTTGCGCCTGGGCAATGCTGTGTGCAAGGTAGAGTAGCTGGAGGGGGGGGGGAAGATGTAGTTCGTAGTTTGTCTGACAAATTGAACGCTGTGATAGGTGCGAAGACGGGGGGTCTGGTGTTACCGAGGTAGAGGGGGGACGATAATAAAGTCAACGAATAAAGCAACCACTTCCCGTAGTTCGCCTCGAAAACTGTACTGGACCCTTGAAATTGATGCAATGGAGCTCGGACCGTAAGGGAAAAATCACCGTATAATATGGATATCAACACTGTATGACGGTTCGATCTTGACGGGCGCGCCAAAGTGGCTTGGATCGTGCACAGTATACTACATAGGCATTGCAATTAATAGAGGTATTGATAATAAGATCCTTGCATGATTCCGTATTATTCAGATCGAAAGGAGTCAAGTTCCCTCATTGGCACCCGGATAGACTGCGGAGTTGTGGGGAATATTCGATAGTGAAGCCGAAGACGTTTGGTTGTATTGCATGGCTGATAAGTTTAGAGAAACGTGCCTCATATTGCGGCTCTATCAAAGATCCTTCAAACATCAACGTTAATCTTTCAAGGCCCTACACGACCCCGATCCACATACTCAAGAACGACCTCATCATAGGACCATACTACGGGACTCGCGAATAGCGAAAGAACATGTGGGTATTTGGCTAAATGAAAACTCCGCTCGAGATGCATTCTGTACCTCTCAAATTCCACCCCCAAAAAGCCCGCCTCCAGCGCCGATTCCATGCCAAGATAAGCATCGAAAGAAGGAACGAAAAGGTTGTGTGTCTGCCAACCCCAGAGATGGCCCCCATCTCGATAAACAACCCCCCAAGACAGAAATCTCAAGGGAAGCCAATTCAAATAAGAGGAATGATTCTCGCCGCCCAGCCAACAACCACAATTTCATATCAATCATTATACCCTCTTCTCCAAGGTCATCATTAAGAAAAAGAAGGAGAGAAACGGCGGCGTTGTGTGTGTAATAGCAGTCGTTTCCTTTATTCCCCGCCCTCTGGTAATATCCTCCCCAGGCTGCGTAGCACCTCCATGACGGGCATTTCCTTGGTGCCCGCGTTGGCCTTTTCCCTCGCCTCCCGCTCCTTGAGCCGCGCGGCGCTGAGAGAGAGGACCTTATCCGCCTCTCGGCCCGCCGTGTCAACGCGTTGGGAGAGCTTGTGTATGCCGTCCGCGAGCTGGTCCACCTTGAACTCCAGCGTCGACTGCGTGTTTTGCAGGCGGGCGAGCGTCTTGGCGCGGACGTTTTCAAACGAGGATGCCGGGTCGGTGAGCCAGCTGAGCATCTCTGCCTCGTTTGGCTCGAGCAGGGATGCGTCGGCTGCTGTTACTGTTTGTGCTGTGTCTGTTTCTGAGAAGAGTGGCGGGATATCCGGACGCGTTTTGTTTAGCGCCAGCCATTTCTTCTTTTCTAGTTTTAATCTGTAATTGATTAGTGCCTGCATCTTCATGAAATCGGACATTCGGGAAACATACCTTTTGACTTTTTGTTCCAGTTGCTCGATTTTCTCTTGATGTTCAAGATTACGCGGGTTTGGCAGGTACACCACAGGCTTCTTTGGCCCCTCTTCTTCTCGGCTGAACCAGTCTGAAAATTCTGACTTTGTAGAGAAGTCCTTCAAAAGCTGCTCCTGAATATAGCGAGCTGTGAAAGGTTAGCTTGGGCACGGGTTTTCTTAAGATTTGTACTTTACTCACCACCCAGAACAGTATTGGAATCTGTCTGGCCATGGGGCGGCTTTTGCAGTAACGCTCGTTCACCACACCACGTCAATAGCTGCTTCATTCGTCTTGGTTCCATGAGACCTTCCGACTCAATATGCTTGTAAAACTCTGCAGTTTCGACCTCTCGGTGGGGTATCGCGTTATGCCCACTCTCAATCAGCGAACTTGCTCTCCGGCCGCGCATACCCGTGCTACTCCGACGATTGCCTCCGCCCTTTTTCCTCATTTCCTTGTTGCGATTGATAACAGGCGTGTCGCTGACGGGGAGCGTGATTTTTGCAGACTCGACTGGTTCCTCGATGGCGCGTGGCGTCCGCCGCCTATCTGGCTCCGGCTCCCTCGGTGTCGCGCTGCCAATTCCATCGTGCTCTTCCTCCTCCTCCTCCGGGACTGGTTCTGGTGCTGGTTTCCTGGCAGGCTTTGTCTTTTCTGTTTTCCCAGTCGAACCGCGCGTACTCCGGCTCGTCGTGCGCTTAGGCGCAAACAATTGCAGCTCATCGTCCTCCACCGGCTGCGTGCTCGCTGTCCGTCGCGTTCGCGGCTTTGATGATGTCGCTGCCTTTGGCGCAGCTACTGGTGATGTGGGCTCGGGCGCCTTCGCTGCCGCCGAAGCGCGTCCTTTTGCCGGCCTTCCTCTTCCAGACTTTTTCGGGGGTAGTGGCGCCGGTTCAGGTTCAACATCTGGTTCGGGTTCTGGCTCGGGTTCTGCGTTCTTAACTCGCTTTGATTTGGATCCGCGCGTGAAGTGGAAGTCGCCATCCTGCTCGTCGTAAAGCGATGAAGCTGCGCGTCGTTTTAGCATCATCCTCGCCGCCTGCCCGCGCTCCTTCAACTCACCCGCAAGACGCTTGCTTTTTCTTCTCTCTGGCTGCTCGTTGCTCATGCTAATGACTTGCAACGGGTGACGAGTGCGAATGACGGTCGTCATGGATGGCGCGTTAAATGAAGCATGCGGTCGAGAGACAAAAGGTGGCACTCGGTGTAGGAATCGGAAAGTCGCGCCTCGAGGCAATCGAAAAGCGCGTCAATCGGCGCGTGGAAAATCCCAGGCAACCAAAATTTCGGTGCGGTTTTGCGTAGTTCCAAATGTGTGAGAAGTGTGGTCGGCGGAGTGCTGTCGTGATTTTCGCGTTTCGGCGGGTGTGGTAGTCGGCGGCGCGAGACGAAGTTGGGGTACTCCTTCTCTGCGATGTTGTTTACAAGAGTGAGGGATGATTTACCCGAGCAGTCGCGCTAGTCCGCTTTGGGAAACCCCTCTCGACCACTCACAACCCTGGAACATGACTGCCTCACTTACATCACTTCCATGTGGTATTGGTTCCCCTCAAAACGACGGATTGTCCCGATGTGTAACTGTCTATACCTTCTTTCATCACAACTCGGCTTGCGGCTCATCATGGCTAAGTATCTTGGGAACAATGGTAGCAATGTGCATGTACAAAACGAGTAGCAAAAAATTGGTACACACTCATCATCTACGCACATTCATCTCAAGGCTCGTTATAGGGCGAAATCTCATAAATTAAATGACCACGAGGCGTTGCCGTTCATGCAGCTCTTGTTACCATTGCTACTAGAAATCCGATCAAATCAATCAACCAGCAGAAGATGGCGTATTCCCATCAACTACTCCTCGACGCCTACACCCTTAGAAATGACTTGCCGACCCTTAAACTCCTTTTGATGTATATGCCCAGTATCTAGCCCTTCCAATGACGGGCTGATACAATTGCAGCAAGCCAATGACGCCTGCCAAACTCCCCACCTCCACCTACCCAAGGTGAGCTGCCTCTGTTACTGAGCAGCTTATCCCTGGTAATCCGCAACCCCATCGTAGAAACGAAGTAAAGATATTGGCGCAAGAATGTCGTATATAATGATGATACAGTTGAGCCGTAAGATATGACTGGGCCAGAGAATGGAACAGCATGAAAGTCGTAATCTCGATGTCGCCACAGGCTGTTCGAGAGGAGCAACCTCAACAGGTTGTTATTGATGGCTCGAATCCTCCAACTCCTCATATTCGAAATGATTGTTGTACAAGGCTTCGTCATCCTATGAAAAGCGACGTTGCACACCCTGACCCGCCGCTAGCACTTGCTGGTTGGGAATAGGAGCGGCCATACCATACGGGTTCATCTGAGGATTGAATGGCTCCATGGCCTGTTGCATGAAGGCACCGTGAAGGCCTTGCTGTTGCGTGACAGGGCAGTCTTTGTGGGCCAAGAGTAATGTCTTCAAGTTAACAACCTCCTCGCGTAACTGCGTGATCTGAGCTGTGAGAGCATCGTTCTCACTGCTGAACAGTTCAACCTTTGACTGGAGGTTAGCCAGCCATTGCTTCTTGCGCTGGCGGCACTTGAGGGCAGCAACTCTGTGAAGAAATTAGCGGGGTTTCACTGAGAGCAATTATTCAGTGTTGGAGCTTACCTGTTACGTTCCAAGAAATTCTTGCGTTTCTCCTCATCAGTCATCTTTGACTTTCCGCCTTCACCATTCTCATGTTTCATATCGTCATCGTCCGACTGGCTATCATCTCCCATCATATCAGGAGGGGGAGCATTGTTGTTCGGTTTTGACTTCTTAGCGGGAGGGGCCTTAGCCGGTGGCTCTTCAGCCTTTCTACGGCCATTTGTCGATGCGCCGCCAGTCGAGTTGCGCTTGCCCTTGCCCCTGGCTGCGGGACGGGCTTGCTCACTTTCATCCGACATCGCACTTCCGCCTTCGCTTACACCGCGGACTGAAGACCCGGCACCAACAGATCCAGCACCGTTAGCACTCATTTGAGGCGACGTGTTCACGCCTTGAGCAGGTGGTGGAGGTGGGTGAGCCTGAGATTGTGCTTGTGTTGCCGCGAATCCGCCGTTTGGAGCACCGTTTCTGCCCTGAGCACCTTGAGCAAGCATAAACAGACCGTTCGCTGCGTCGTTGTCGTGCGGGTCAAATTGCTTTGCTTCAGTCTTGACGGTGGTTGCACCGTTTGGCATATCCTGCGGCTGCGATGTCACGGCTGTCTGTTGCTGATTGTGGTTCTGTGTCTGATTTTGGGTTTGACTTTGATTTTGGTTCTGGTTTTGATTCTGGGCCTGCGTGTCACGCTTTGCAGCGGCACTTAACGCAGTGCGATGGAAATCGATGGTGCTAGGCGTAGCACCGCCACTAGCCAACTGAGCAAATAGTTGCTGAGAGTTAGGGCTGGGGGCAGG